CCAGCGCCGCTGTGTCGGGAAAACTACGGATGAGGTAGGGGTAGGGATGAGGGTATGCTGGGTTGGGGGCTAGGTGGCGTGGCAAGTAGTAGGTAGCTGTGTGATGAGAGAAGGAAATGTCTGTCAGGATATGTACTGTATGTCAATTATGTTGAACTTAAAAAAAATCCATCAACAACATGTTTTCCTTATACATATGTTTTCTCAGGCCTGTGTGGGCGTGACAGACAGAGTTTGATTGACATCTCCTTGTATCTACAGGTTTACCTGTTAGGCTATATTTAAAGTGACAGGCCCTTTGGTAAAACTATAGGTACTGCTAACAAGACAAAATACCAACCTGGAAGTCAAGGTTGAAAACAATGAGAGAAGCTTTTGTCCACCTGGTATGTTCTCTTTGAATATTAATGATTGGTCAATGTGGTGGGACGCTACAGTATGTTAAAGTGAATATAAGTTTTGTGTTTGCACACTTCAATAAAAGACCAGGCTGCATTTTTTAAAGCTAATTGTACTCTATGCCTTTAGGATCATCATTAAAACATATTTGTGGACTTAACATAGCTCTACGCAACCTCAAATAAACAGAGGTCTGTTCATGACAGAATGATTGAAAACACATCATGAACTTCACACATGGCTTTTGCACAGAAAAGGGCTAAGCTATATTGGTATTTACTTAGTTCAATTTGGGATGTACCTGGGTCAATGGGGATGCCGCGGGGCAAAGATGAAGGATCGAAGGCCAAGGGGATTTGACGGTACACATCTGCTGCTCCGAGGCCCTGCAGCAGACGCTCGTAGGTCTGCTGATCAGTAACACCCTGTAGTGGTGATTTGGTAGCAGTCATTTCCCTCGGGGATGGCGTAGCTTTGCGCTCTTGGGATGGATTCTTACTTGAACCTAGAGTGCACACCAGGGAAGAAAAAATTATGTTACACCTCTTATGTTAGACATTTTTAAACATTTTAGATGGTATGGTCATAGTAAGAATCAAGCAAGACAACCAAAATAACCTCTTAACTAAATGAGATGTACCCACCATCATGCTGCCTTTGGCTTGCCTCCCTGGAGAGGGGGGAGCCTCTATGTGAGGGCCCAGGGTAAGGGGTCCTAAGGCCACCTTTGTCATCATAGCCAACGGGACTATGATGGGCTTTGCCTCCCTGATCTGACCCCAGGGTGAGTGGAGAGGAGCGGGCGATAGGGCTAGCAGTACTAACAACAGCACTGGGCCTCCCTTTAGGTGCCTCTTCATAGCGCCCTCTCTCAGTACGCATCTCCAGGGGGGAGGGGTTGGTATGATAGGAACGTGGTGAGCTGGCGATGATGGAGCGAACGTCATGGCGTTTCCCTGAACCAGCTGCCTCCTGCTTCATGGGTGTTCCCTAAAGAAAAGCAAAAGAGGAATTCAGTCTAGAGAACACCATACATTTTGTGTGAATCCAGAGGCTAGCATGTATTGTTAGAGTGAAGTCAAAGTTGAAAGCCTTATCTCTGAAAGTGAAAAACTTGCACACATGTTAATGAATATGTTATCAAATCAGTTGGAGAACTTGCCAATAATTTTACTCCAACTGTCTGGGTGACTGACACAGCTACAGATATAGAGAGAGGGTTTGAAAAATGTAAATCGTATACAGACAAAGTGAACTTGGTGGGGGCATTCTTCCTGGACCTCAAGGAAGCATTTGATACCATAGCATTTTAATTTCCAAACTTTCAAAGTATATCTTTTCAGAAAAATCCTGGGAATTTTTTTAATCGTATCTCTCTAACCGTCAACCATGTGTTGAAATAAATAACAAAATCTTTCTTAAAAATCTAAAACAGGAATCTCACAGGGATCTGTCCTAGGACCAAGACTCTAAAAGTCTATAGATAAACGACCTCCCTGAATCATGTGTAGGGGCCAGTTTTAAGTATGTACATGGATGATACAGTCATGTATGCTTGTAAGCGAGTATTGAAGCTCCTTATAACTGTCAACCAAATGTAAGCTCTGTCTGTAAGCATGCTCTTTTCATATTATATATGTATTTTTTACTGAAGGTCCTTCCAGGGACAGGCATTATAAATTAGAGTTAGCTATACATGCTGGGGTGCAGTGCATTAGATTTTTTTTTATTTCTTTCTCTGCATCTATCATTGCCAAAAAAAAGTATATATATACCTCTTTTCCAGGCTGTCTGAGCTCCTCTCTGGGAATGAGGTGGATGGAGCGCCCGCCCTCCTTCACTGTGGGCACCATGCCCTCTCTGCCCTTCATCGGGTCTGAGAGTGAACCAGGGCCACGGAGGGGGGAACCTTCTCTCTTCATCTGCTTAGCCTCCCTCCTCAGGTAACCATCCTGAGGGTCCAGATGACGAGGTATACCTGAAATAACAAGAATATATCATTCTCTATTTCTGACAGCACATTTCATGTTTCATGAATTAAGACAGACAGGAACTACAGGAGACAAAGAAAGTTTCTGATATAACTGTATCAACTCAGTTGAACAAGCAGCTTTATTTTCAACTATCTCTGGTGAAATAAGACACGATGGTTATCTGACTTTGCTGCTTTCAGATAAACACAAATATTATCATGCAATTTTTCTGCCATCAGACAAGATCTGATAAACTGGTACAATCTGTTTCCTGAAAGGAAAATTAAAAATAAAAGCAGCTGCAGCTCTGTTTAACAAAACTAAGAGTGCAGTCAGAAGAGGAAAGAGCACAATGACTGACTACCTTCAGGAAAAATACACAACACAAGAATGCAAACAGAGAAGACACATGATTTTAAACAGTGTATTCTGGCAGGAAGATATATTTCCTTTCAGTTCAAGGACTTAATCTGCTGCAACATCTTTCAGTTATGTTGTATCACAGATCTACTTAGCCTATAACCATATATTATCCCTAGTCAACTGTGATCAGCGATGCAAAATCAGCCCTTCTCTCCTGGTGTCATACCGACCGTGTCTAAATGCTTTTTCATTGAGCATTCAGCATAACAAGGTTTTTTGACACATTTTGTGTGTTAATTTAAGACGTCGTCCTACCTTGTGATATGGAACCACGGATGTGATGAGCATCCTTGTAAGGTGCGTGGTGCGGACTGTCCCTATCATGAGGCATGGCTCGAACAATCAGACCTGAGGTAGAGAAGGAACAATAGAGATGTTTAATACAGGAGTTTATCAGTAATGGGAGGTGAATGGGACTTTTTTTTCAAACAGGTATAAATTCAGTAGCTTTTCATTGAAGTGACAGAGGCTTAATGAGATCGTCTCTTACCCTCACAGTTTGGTGCAGACAGTGAATCCCTCAAAGGCTGTCCCCGAGAGATGCCTCCCTCCATAACGTCATAAGGACGCTTCATGCCAAGAATTTCCCCAGGCTGCGCGGAGCCCCGGCCCTCATCTTTGGGGGTCTGGGAAGCTGAGCCTACAAATGACAAAAATGTAATTACAATTCGATAAATAAAAACGCTTACCTACGGGGAACACTATTTGTATTTTCTGTTTTGGTTTGACTTGTTGGTGTTCATGCAAATATATATAAAGCTAAAGTTTAAAATGTGTCTCTGTTGTTAATAACAGTTTTTTATCCATGTGTTGCTTTGTAGGGTGGGTATTTTGTGGGAAGCACTTTGTGTTGCAATCCAATTAATGTCTGACTATTTTGATTAGATTTTGTTGTTGCAAGTTAAAATCATTCAATTTCTTGAACCAACTCTTACTCAAAACGAAAAATAACACTGGTGGTTACATGATATACACTGTAGTCAAGCTGCTGTACTCACGGTCATATGTGAAAATGTGTCCACTGATGCCCTCGTAAACCACATGGCCCTTAGACAGAGCCTCATCCCGCTCCCTCTCAGCTCGACTGGCGCTGTCCTCTGTGATCAAACGGGTTATGGTTCCCTTATACAGCACATCAGCCGGTGTCCCCTGTGGAGAAGAGAGGGAGAATGAGACCTGCCCTTATTAATTGCAGTGCACAGAAAACTCAAAGTTGGATGATGACACATTGTATTTGATCAATTGTCAAAGACCTACAGTCTGCACCTTTATTAAGCTTTACTTCTATTAAAAAAAGGGGATTTATGAACCACCCTTTACATACTAAAGACTACAAACAGATAACTAACAGACTAATACTGGCAAGCAGCTGCCAATATGTCCGCTAACAAAACAGGCTCAGGGGAATGGACTGTTAGATGTCACATTTTAGTATTCATTCAAGCAAGTGAAACTTGTTGAGCACAAAATTCACTTCTTTTTTTATATCTCAACAAGAGTGCCCTGTCCAGACAGGCGATCATAGCACAGCAAGTTTCCAACAAAAAAATGAGCATGCTTACTTATAAACAAATCACAGGAGACGTAACTACAATACATAAAAAAGATATGAAATAGGCCTAAATGAAACCAGCAAATACTTGTGAAAATTGACCACAATTAGAAATATATTTGGCAAAACATCTGCAGCCTGATGTACCTTCCTCAATGTCATTTAAAATCAATTTGTTCCTAGTAAAGGGAACAGCTAACTTAAGCCAGATATCGCAGTCTAAAGACGTGATATTTACTTCCCTTTGGCGTAACGCTTTCAGTCTGAATGTTGTGGAGGCGTAATGGACGGGAATTCACACCTCTAAAATGTCAAGGTGATTAAATTAACTCATTCTGTTCTATAAACAAATGGTCTTTCTTAAGGACAAGCACTATCCCGAAACATGGCGATTCATAAATGAACACAGGTTCCCCTTAACACTTGAACACACAACAACTTAATGAACATTAGTTAAAAAGCTATCAATCAAACCGGGCTATTAAAAGAAGAATGTGTGACTTTTTGATCCAGTAGATGTCGAAACCAAAACAAACTGCTCTCGTATTCGCACAAAGGAGTTATGAATTACAACGCACCATAATTAAGCGCCATTAAGCACAAGCAGCAGACGAAATGTGTCCTTTGCTCGAGCTGCAATTGCCCGTGTCCTGCATTGTTGTGTTAGCAGGCTAATGTTAGCACACTTTAGTTAACTCATGGCTTCATATCGCTCATACATTGACACAGAATGAGAGTGAGCTAAAGACAGTTACATGACATCCAAATAAATTATATAAATAAATAAAAATTCACTTTTTGTTTGCAATCTTTGCTCTTTGCTGCTGTAACACTGTAAATTTCCCCGTTGTGGGATAAATAAAGGTTTATCTTATCTTATCTTAAATAAGCAGTGAGTATGTTATTCTTCTTTTATCTAGTCCTTGACTAAAACAACTTTATACATAAGGCCATCCCGTCCATGTAAAATGTCATGATGTAAAAATGGCTCCACAATAACAACAGCCAGCAGGACTCGAGCTTCACACTCATTGTAGACAGTCATGACTCAGAGAGACATGTACGGAGGATATATTTGATTCCTGCTGTATATATGTGTAAAGTCTCGCACGTTCTGCTTTTAATGAGTCACGGTGCAGGTGATAGTAAAAAGTAATACTTATTGTTTTTACGTTAATTTAACTGAGTTAGCAGTTAGCTGTTAATTTACTGTAATGCATATCAAAGGTTGTGTTACATACAATACGTGTAACAGGAACTCTTTCTGGGGCACACACATTTCAAGTAACAGAAAAACAACGGTGACAGATGACGAGGACTCCCTCACCCCCAACCCCCCTCCAATAAACAAACAAACACAAGTGTGAAAAATAAAGTCGGAGTCCCAGAAGAAGCGGGGGAGAGACAACTTGGCAACACTTGACGACAACGCAGCTTTGTTAAAACCTTGACTCACATCACTCGTACCATGACTATGAGTAATATTTCTGTACAACTTCAGAGTGAGAGCGGAGGTGGAGGGCTGAGTGGGTGACACAGAAGTGCCTGAGATCACATTTCTCATCTGTTGACTGCAGCTTTTCCAAGAAGACACAGCCAATAGTTGGACTAGTACAGGCTTACATTTAGAGGATCAGATGGCGCTGTCCAAAGCAAACGCAGTCCTTGTCTGCCCCTAACATTGCCATAATTAGGTGTTTACAACAGAACTGATTATTTTTTAATGCTCTCACCTTTCAATTTCTAATCTGTCATGTTGGATAACAGCCCCCTAAATACTTGTTTTCTCTCATGCCAGTTGGAGGTGATATAACAATGGGCATATCAATGACTGGATTTGGCCGGAGTCTGGAGTAAAAACATAAATTAAAGAGGGAACAGATGCGGTACAGTGTGTACCTGTTGCTAAGGCGACAGGGCCACTCAGAGCTGTGGTTATGTCACAGCAGCAGGGAAATCCAGCCGTTACAGCACTTTGCTCGCCTAATGACGTCTTTATAGCTTTCTTTCATCATAAGTACACACAGCAAAGGCCAACACAAAGGAGTGCTAGTTTGACAAGAGTGGCTTTATAAAAGACAGAACTGATATGAGCCAAATAGCTTTAACCAGCAATAAGGTCAGGAAATTGGAAAAATGCGGGCTGTATGTGTACCGGCCATTTAAGCTTTTACGATGAACCTTGAAGCAGTATGTCATGCTGTCATTTTCAGTTTAGCAGAGACCTCCATCAGTCTCTGAAGCATGCAATATTAATTGTATTTTTTCCCCTCTCGTTATTGTGACGAGCATTCACAACAAACACATCTCAAACGTCTGAATTTTTGCAATAAATTTGAAAAAATATTTTGTGTAATAATGAAAAGATTCTCCCTTAGAGTGCGTACATTTTACCCATTGGATGGACGCCTGAGTATAATGGCCATGCTTTCACATTATTTTCATGCAGTTTTATAAGCTTAAGCTCGCTATCAGCTACCCTAAGATTAAGATTTGCAAAGTAGAGGAAAACTCTTGCGCTTCTGACACTCCATAAATGGAGGACGGCACTCTCAGAGAAGGACCTTAGATGTTCAAAAAATATAATTCATTGGACTCCGTCTCTCAGTTGGGATCCAAAGAAAAAACCTTTCTGCAGCACACAAATCACTTATGGCCAATTGATTTAAGTAAATATATAAATATATTTGGCATTAAGTGATTAGTGTGAGCCATAAAACCAAAAAAATATTTGGATCCTGTCTTAGAGAAGGAATCCCCTGAATAAATCTTTGCCAATAAAGCAATGAAAAATAAATGCTTTAAGAATGTATTCTGGATTCAAAAGAAACCTGTCACAAACACAGGTAATTTGAAGAAGACACATGAGGAAGAGCAGATAATAGTAATGGATAATAACAACACTGGTAAAATATATGGAAAAATGTTATTGCAAATTGCATATTTTTCTCATATCCAGCAGGCCTATATCTAGACAAATGCAATCACATTAGGTTGAGTGTGCCACACCTCAGAGAACCTCTGAATCAAATATAATTGTATCTGTAAGTGTCTCCTTAATGTGAATAACAGCTCATATGCAGCAGCTCATTTTCTAGACTTACTTATTCTGATGAATGTCAGGAGGTTGTTCAGAGGTTCTCCAAATAAAGAGGAAGATAACGGTTTACAGCTGTGTGTCGTAATGCACTTCTCAAACTTTAACACTGTCAGCAAAATATTCATAACTGCATGCTGTTCTGCACACAGAGCAGCCATGACAATCAGCACAAATATGAGATTCTCCTAACGCCAGAGTACAGGCATAGTGACAGAGCATTAACTGTGATTTCAACAGCTTCCACCTCTAGGCCGCCTACAAGAATGTTAAAAGAGAACAGTAAGGACCTCCCTGCAGCAAGAAAAACTTATAATTAAAATTATCTATTCAATTTATACCAGCTACCTCTCAAACTTATCAAGGTTTGACAGACTTGATCTTATGTAGATCTTCATGTATGAAGTCATGTGATATTGTGAATTCCCCACAGATCTCCCCTTGGACTGGCAGCAAGAGACTAAACGGCCAAACAAACAGTTAAACCGATAAAATTATGGTGGTCTGTGCTCACCTGAGTAATGGAGCCCCCTCTGCAGGAGATTGAGGAATCTGGGTGCATTCTGGTCCCTGGGATGCCCTTAGTGATACTCCCCCCCTGGACGGCTGGAATAGATGCTGTAAAGAGAATGAGAGGGACATTCAATACTTTGACGTATACACTAGAAAACAAGCACTGGTAAGACAGGTTTGAAAAGTCGCATTTGTATTTATATTTATTCTTGTATTTATAATTCTGTCAGTCGTTGCCGGCAGTAATCACAGCCTTCAATCGCCTTGAGTTTGCATCTAGCAGCTTTGCACACATGGATTTGGGCAGTTTGTACTTTTCCTCACATCCTCTCGAGCTGTGTCAGATTAGAGAAGCTTCGGTGAACTCAACTCCCCACCGATTCTACGCTGAGATTCAACTCTAACCCTGGCCAATCAAGTGCATTTGGAGACTTGTCCCAAAGTCACCCCAGTGTTGTCCCTGCTGTGTGCCAGAGGCCACTCTCATGCAGAGAAGGAAAATGTTGTCAGCATGACAGTGCTGAACAAAACATGTGGCAAAACCCAAGATCTGACTTTGTTATTTTAAATGTGTACGACTTGATTGATAGGAAAAATCCAAAGAGTTTCAAATAAATCTGTGATGCAACAAAACTTAGACTAAATGATTCTAAATATTCTCTATAGGGCTTTCACACTTGTCCTGCCAGCCCCCTGGTATAAGTCCAAATGAGCTGATGTGAGAACACAGCAGGATATATTCCGGAGAATTCACCTCGAGCCAGGGGGAGGGGGTGGTGACATTTATATCCTGTGACCAGAGCACGATGCATAGATGGTCTGCACGCAACCACTACGATCTCTGAACACATGAATAAACTGCTGCACTATGTTTTAGTTCAGCACTTTTGTTGACATTGTGATTCTGTTGAACTACGCTCAGCATTGATATCATGGCAGATTTTCCCATTATAGTGTCTTACAGCGGACTCTGTTGCTTAGGCTGCTACTTCCTTATCGTTTAATTAAATCATCTAAATATTTTCAGAATTGCATATGTGAAAACGGTATGAGATGCATTTGTATCATTCTATTCCCACTACACAGGACAATGGAAACATAGTTGCAAAGAAGCGATACTGGTAAAGTTTATAAGGAAATAAAGCAAACGTGAGTAACCCACCACGTCCAGCAGCACTATCATGAGACGGCCCCTGGGTGGACAAGTTGTCAGGTTGGGAGGAAGAGCTGCAAGGGGACAACTGTTCCTGCTTCACCACGGGGTAAGGTCCTGCTGTACAGTGCAGACATTGACAAAAGCATGGGACAAAGAGAGATGCATATATGAGAAAACAGTTAAATCTGTGATGCTGTGATCCTAGGATGGCTTTGATAGAAGTGGATGGTAACTTAAAGTTAAAAATAAAGTAATAATGACATCTGTCACTTCTCCCTCCAGACAACTTTACTCACCCACTTTCCTTTGGTCCATCCAAGACAGACCCATCTGTGTGGGAGGAATCTTGCCATGGTCCATCCCATGAGCTGGGCTGTGCAACTGCACCGGGGTGCCCTAAGAAAACAAGCAGAACCCTTATTATCGTACTGTTGATACAGTACACAATGTTTTTTTTGGTGTCAGATAGTTAGTGCTAATTTGTTACTAGCTGACCTGTGTGATGGAGCCTCCTGGCTTGGAGGAGGAGATGAGTGGTGGTGGATCTGGCATGGTGAGGGGCCTCACTGCTGCTAACCTACCACTGTCCTGGGGCAGGCTGGACAGTGAAGGGTGGCCTGCTTGCTGGATAGCTGAAAGGGAAGAAAAGATATAGGATTGAAATCAGACTGATTGATTTTCTGGAGAGTGGTTTATTAAGAGAATAAGAACACAAAGACCTAACAGAGAGGAGGACTCACAATTGAAGTGGAGCAGGTGCTGGTCGTGACTGATTTTGGCCATGTCTCGTGGGGACATGGGGTACGGAGAGAGAACTTGCCGACCCAGGTTGGAGGTCCTCAGGTCATCAGGGCCCAGCGCCTGCTTCTTGGCTTCACCGTGTGGAGAGAAATCCCGGGACTTTTCTGCAACAACAACACACAAACAGAGTGCAGATGAAAGCACAGCCTTTAGCAAAACTTTGACTAATCAAGAAGCTGTTCTCCAGGCTCGGCTCACATTTTCATCATAATCATCCAAAAGCACATAACACCCCCTTCAAATCACTTCCCAGACAGGGTGATATCATCCCTTAATTATTACGCAACATACACAAAAAGCCACTGCTAATATTCATTGTAAAGTAAACACAGTGAAATCCCACAGGGCTCGTGATCACCCTGCAGTGTGGTTAAGGTGCGATTAAAAAGGGAATGGTGTGGCAACTGGTGAACCTACTTAATCCCTGCAGGAGGATCAGTAACCACCTCTCGTTGCCTTCCAGCTCTGAAGGGACACAAACACACCACAGATCATCGCATCCTTCTCTATCTCAAAAAGCTCTAACAGCATAATTACTTAAGCAGTACAAGTAAAAGCTACATGTAGCTCTTAAGTCTGCTACATCTACCTCTGTGGCAGGCACTCTATGAAATGAGTTCTTTACCTTTTTATTTTTTTTCCCGAAGAAAGTAAAAAAAGTGGTTGCCATACTTCACAGTTCACAGCTGCTGTGCCAGTTGGTTATAAAAGACCTTATCGCTGACTCTGTTGCTACTACTCTGTGTTCTCACATCCCGCCAGCTCACAGTAAGTGCACTGAACTAGACTGTATTCCCTTCTGGGTCAATAGCAATACCAAATCATTTATCAGATCTCTCTCTCCACGAGTGTCCCAGAAACACCTCAATACCCTGAGCACTGAAGAAAACCAGCTCAAGGTTAGCGCATGTAGCAAGCACCAACTAAGTTTAACTAGATCAAATGCTACTAAAACTGTGCGATATAGAACACTTTTGTCCACCCCCATGCACATTTTAGCATTTCAATAATCCTCATTTACAGTTTTAATCTCGTCTCCATAAACCCATGTCTTACACACAGGTTGAAATAGAGAGCTATAGCAGAGTACCCTGTTATGCATACATACAACCTGCAGACATGTAAAGCAAGGGATCAAACAGCGAACGATGAAATGTGAAATGGAAAAGAAATCCAGCTTTATATGAGACAAAAAAAGTTGTGAGAGAGGTTCCTCTATATGTAACGCTTTCAGTTTAAAGATTATTTACTACTCTAAACACAATCTTTCTGGTTATGTAACAGTATGACTGACACCATGAAGATTGACGTAACAACATTAAAGTCTGTGATGGAGGTGTGCATACCATCCTTGTCGCTGGCGGAGGGGCTGCGCGAACAAACACGAGGGCTGCTGCTGTGAAGAGCTTCCCTCTCTCTATCTCCCTGTGAGCTGTAAGGCTGCAGTTTGCCTGGCTGGCCTGAGAGATGTTGCTGCTGCTGCTGCTGATGTTTGACCTCCTGAGAGGACTCCCCATGAGCCATGGTGATCTGCTGCTGGTACAGTGCCAGTGCGTGGGGGGGCAGTACTGCCTTACCACCCCCGCCTCGCTGACCAGCCTGCATTGAGGCTTCTGGCATCTACACATGGGATGAGAAGAAAAGAAGGTTACAATCACACTTCACACGTAACACAAACCAATTCCTGCCTGGTGTTTGACATCTGGTTAATCAACATACAGTATCTCGGAAACATGATATCTAATAAACAACTCTTGTTTCTTGGTAAGCCAATGTTCCCCTAATGCCGGGGATCTTATTTCTTTCCCATGAAGCACTGTATCCCAACAGCCTCCATCTGGTCGGCTTATCTAATACAAATATGACTTAACAATTTCACCTGCTTGATTGTTCTCTCTGTAAGCATGGAGACAACATAGCATTGATACTACTGCAAGAGAAGAGAGTGTGTGTTCAAATGTGTCAGTATCATCTGGGCAAATCAGTCTCCTGTTACAAAAAAAAAAACCACGACTTCGTAAAAGATGCATTGCAAGGCTTCACTTTGCTGTTTTAAGATGCACAAAGTTTAACTTTTGACTCACAATAGGTGGTATGGCAGCAGCCCTCTGCTTTAACTGTTTCAGGTCCAGGGGCTTCTGCAGCGGCGAGGATATGACCCCATCGTGAGTGTAGTTCAGCAGGCTTGGCCTAGGTGAAGTCATCCTATGGGACCAGATATATACATTACGTCATTCCTTTATTCATGACCCCATGTCACATTTCTTATAATCTTGCCATGTTGAGCTCAAGCATATCATTTTTCCAGAGACATCTTTTAAAAAAAAAAAATCTAGAAGAAAAAGACAAGGGCAGTGATTTTTCATGTTTCCAACCATGTTGTCTGCCAATGCATTACCTCAGGAGCCGTTGGCACAATCTCAAACCTTCACTTCCTTAAATATTCAAATGATGGGGAAATACATTTTTGGTGTGTGTGTGTGTGTGTGTGTGTGTGTGCGCGCAAGAGTCTGTGTGTATTTTGTGGGGTTATACTCTATGTATTGTGTGTGTTGACACAGACTTACTGTGGAAACAAACTGCAATGGATATGAAAAATCCATATCCATGTCTCGCACATCTGTCGAAAGTGCAAATGATACTCCGAATCACAGACGGCCACATACACACTTTGATGCACACAACACAAAAGTGTGTACACACATGCACACAACTATACACGCTCGCTCACTCACTCCCTTTGTTTGCTTTGGCAGAGAGGGCAGCGTTTCCCTTGGCTCTGCCAGTACATGCAGTCTGCTGTCATGGAAAAAAAATTGAACAAATACCGTGCAAACAGGACTAATCACTCCTCCCACGCACTTTGACACCCATTTCTTCTGGTCTCATTCATAAACACTCACAAAACCTCAGTAGAAGTCTGGTTGTGTGTGGTTGTGTGTGGTTGTGTGTGTGTGTGTGTGTGTGTATATATATATATATGGCTTTCTATATTGCCATTCATACAGAGTACAAATAAAATCACGGTTTGATAGAAAAAGAGATATCTGTGGTGGAGACATAAGTGGGCTGCCAAATAAGGCTTCACTGCTTTACTGGGTAGCTAGGCAACTAATAACACTTCAAAACGGCCGCTGCTTTGCTTTCTGATGTCTGCTGTGTAGGACCAGAGAAGTAGGACATCTATTAAACCACTGCTCAACCTCACGTTTGCTAAGAGTTCCTACCTGTTCTTCTCTGTGCTTTCTGTTTCCTCCACTTCATCGGCACTGCAAGTGGCACTAGAGTCGCTGTCCCCATGGGAGTCTTTTTTGGCCCCATGCTCCTTCTTGGAGCTCTTGGTGGAGGTTTTGATCCTCTGTCTCTGCTAAAGGAGGTTTTTTATCTGTGGCATCGCTGGGTGCTGTTGACGGCTCTTTGTTGGGCTCCCCTGTCTCAGTCTTTATCTCCTGCTTGATTGCTAAGTCTGCATCTTCCTTTACAGGAGGTCTCTCGTCCCCTGCCTGGCCCATGTCGGACCCACTAGCCTCTTTGTCCCCGCTGTTGGAGCTAGCCTTTGACCGGCTCGAGCCTTCCTCCTTAGCCTTGCTGTCCTCTGATGAGTGTGGCGAGGGCAGACTCTCAGTGTCAGAGCTGTTGTTGGCTCCACCTGGCAGGACAAAAGGAGACACAGATCAGAAGACAAGACTATACTGTAAATCATGTTACATGTCCCTGTCCTTTTTTCCTCCATCTTTACCCCATCTCTTTCTGCTAAACCAGATTCTTCACAGTGCCAGTCTCCTGCCTAATCAGGTTTCACTGTACAATAAGGAGGAACACAAAACCAATTGGGATGATGGACGAAATCCCCCGGGGCTTCGGCGCTCTATTGTGGCAGTACGGTCTACACAGTACACTTCTATGAGGATACTTTTCTGTTTCTGTCATTGCAGAACATGATCGTTCAGGCTAACAGGTAGCTGCTACCAACGCAACAAAACCACTCAGTCATTAATCCTACGTTGACAAAGATAATAATGATCAGGTGTAGCTGGTACTGTGACACACTCATAATCGATCTCTTAATTAGTTTAGGCTGTAGTCTGAAGGGGTGTGAAACTACAATCCACTACATGAAATCGAGATGTGTTTCCTATGTTTTGCTAAATCCAAATAAAAAAAATCAATGGTTAAGAATTTAGAAATACTCAATAAAATTCAGTACAGGGCAACAGGGCAGCTCACTAACACTTTAGTAATAAACACACAGTGGTATTACGACCTTTTTTACAACCTACATTTCAAGCTCTAAAAGTTGGGGAGTAAATATATTAGATAGCCCAGATTTGGGCTTAACTAAAAAGAATCCAATATAAAAAGCATAATTTAATTCATTTTACAGCAATAAATGATGATGAACTAAACTATCACTACACTTTCAAACCTCAAAAGTTATTTCAAGTTAAATAAAATAGCAGCATCACATTGTGAAGAGTAAAGATATGCTGGGTTAATGGAACCTTCATTAATACAGGGTTGATTTTCATAATGATTTCATATCTCTTTGGAGTACCTTCTCCATCTTCAGGGGCCTCGTCTTCATTGCCACTTGCTCCTGAACCCTCCATTTCCTCCTCCTCTGCTGCATACGAAGCACTGGTCTCCTCATTCTGTGAGGATTTGCCCCTACGCCGGGCCTTTCGCTCCTTCTCCTGGGTCAAAACAAACAGATACTAAATATAAACAGCCCAAAGAACCAAAGGGCTTAAGATACTGCAGAAAGCCAGGAACATTCTTACAGCTTGATCATTCACAAAAGGCAGGAATGTCTTTGGCATCACAAAAAAAAAAAAAATGTCTCGCTGTGCTTACCGATTTCATTTTATGCTGCTGCAGAATCTCATCCAGTTTCTGCCTCTTCTTGTAGTTGAAGTAGAAGTTCTTGCACTGCGACACAGTTTTGGATCCCACCATCTTGGCGATGGCGGACCAATTCCTACCATACTGGAGAAGGCCTGGAATAAGCAGAAGGACAGGCAAAGGAATAAAGACAGGAACGAAGATGGATGACATAGATGTTGTCTTGAACAAATTCTTCATATCAAATGATATTCTCCATACAATTGTAAAAAAATCTGATGTAAGCATTGCAAAGAGCACTCTTTAAGACTGTGAATTTAATAGGTTTGTTTTGGTTTTTTAAACAATGAACAATATCTCAAACCGCAATTTCTGGAGGCACACAGTATGAAGATCTCCTTAAAGCAAATCAATAGTAAGAGGAGTAGAACAGCAAACATCTGTTTCTATACAGCGGCCATAACTTTAGCACAGCCTGGGAGTCACAATGCTGCATAGAAACACTCTCCCAGCAGCAGCATGGCGCGGTGCCACATGCAAGAAGGGACAAAAAGAGATAGAGAGTGTAAGAGAGGCTGGAGCAGTGGCTGAACAGTCAGTCATACCAATGACATCACTAAAAACAGGGTCACTCTGTGTCAAATTCTGACTGACTTTGATGTGACCCATTTCCAAGAAACCTTGGTCCCTCACCCAGTCAACCACATGATTGTGCCTTACACAAGAGTCTACATGCACCCGCTGGGGCTGAGCTGTGATAGATCAACCTGTCAGGAAACACACACACACACACGCGGGCGCGCACACACACAGAGCAGCTCAAAGTATGTGTGGTAAAAGAAGACATGTAGAGAGCAGTCTGTGTGTAAGAGGCAGTGACTGAGTAAGACAGATCGCGTAGAATTTGCTCCGGTGTCCCCCCCCCCCCCGCCACCCCACCAGAGTCTGCTGTTAGCTAAAGGCAGCTCATTAACAGTGTGTGTTGTAAGAGGCTTAGCTTACACCACCCACTTGTTTCCTGTGCCAGCCTGACAGGTCCTGGCAACAGGACAGCCCCTCAAAGGGTTGTCAGGGAGGGTGGTGTTATTAACGGGCAGAGAGCCAACATCTCCATGGGATAACCTTGGACACGGGTTCAGAGGTCTCTGCATCTCATCACTTAATGGAGGCAGTGGGACAACAAGCACAAGTCCTAACCCTAGCCAGAGGTTAGGACAGCTGTTTACAGCCCTGTCATTTCAGTCCCTCTTGTTAATCAGAGAGGCTGACTCTGATTCCAAAAACTTAACGAGTTATGTTATTAATGAGTAATAGCTGCAATAAAAGCTAGTCTATGAGCTAATTTCAAGAGTATTAATCACGCTTCTTTAATTAATCATGTCTACAGGGACTCTCATAATCAAGCTAAAAGGAGAAAAAAAATTAGACCATATATTGGTAATTATCTTATGACGATGCAATACGTTAAGCAAGGCAATATAATGGTATTTTAAAAAACGTTCATTTGAAGGAAACTGTCATATCACTCGAGCAAAAAAGGGGTCAAAGTTGACCTTTTTAAATGGCCAGCAGATAATATTAGCTGATATTAGCATATCCAGGGACTACCGGTATCAGCTAATTTCACTGCAGATATGCGCCGATATTACTACATTTATTTACCAGTGAAAATAGCATAGCATTTGAGTTTCATTGTATTACACTAGCGCTTCTCTTTCACCAGCAGAGTGGGCTATATAGATTACGACAAGCAATATCAGTGTCCAAAGTGTCAAGCGTGATGCACATACTGTACATGCACAGTTACTTTCCATTTGAGTGACCATCTTGTCTGTGTTACACTTTATATCTTTTTCGCAAATGTTTGATAACTGCCTTTGAGGGATCAATGAAATACATGTGTATCTATATCCATCTATCGCTACAGATCAAACAGATGTAAGCTTGGAAAGATATCGGCCAATATATCAGTATCAGAGTTTTTTCCTCCCCAATATGGCATCTATCCAATATCAACATCGGTATCGGCCTTGAAAACCATATCGGTTGGAACTCCACATTTAAGAAAATAAATTAAATCTTTGCTTTTCATCTTTAATTACTTATGTAGTCTTCTAGAAAGTTGACAGTGTCCCAAAAAATATTTTGCAATATTAAAGTGTTTCAATATTTTCTTACACCTCTATTACTAAGACATCACCTCTCAAAAAAAAATAACCACCAAAAGACAGTTGGCATTTGAAAACTGCTTAAATGATATCATCAGCTATAATGTTTATCATCGCACAGATATTATTCAAACACTTCCCCTGTCACACGTATCAAGTGATAAAACAAAAAAACACTTTTTCCAAAGGAGCTGGAAAAGCTGTGTATCATCCAGCAGATGTGAGATGATGAATAATATTCACAGTCATGCCGAGATTTGAATCCTGCCGGTGAAAAAAAAGGAACAACCATAACAAGCAAAGGTGATCTTCCAGTCTGGGCTGCTGCTATCTAAAAAGCGACTGCACACCTACAACCTGTCAAAGTGTTAAAACTGTAAAGTTTTTTTTTTTTTTTTTTTCTATCGCTGAGGCTGAATGCATTGCTAGGAAGACTTCCCAAAGCAAGAAAAAAAGCAGACGGGTCAGCATGATGAGCTCCAAAAGGACTCAGACACGTGACCGACACCTATTAACCTTTTACAGCTGCCTCACAAGAAGGGAGGAGGCTGTAGCCGACTGCCCTACAAGTCAGACTCCCTCTGACTCGACGGAGTTCACATAAACATGCTCTGACAAAATAGATACAAACAGTGGTCTATTATCACACGCATTTAAACAAGTAAGACCACACTTCGCTGCACCCACTGAACCTAAAGCTATAAATGCAAATAATTTACAGAAAGCCACTTTGTTATGGCCTCTTGCAATATCTAGTTTATTCCATCACATGCAAGCTCATAAAAACAAAATCCAAAACAGCTCTGCTCGACTCTGGGCCTTAGCTGCAGGAGCAAAACACATGGAACAAACGGCCAATCAGCAGAAGCAATACTAAAGCAGGTGGTATCCTCACACCCAATCAGGACACTGTATTCCCGTTAGCTCCTCCCCTGGAAAGTGCAATCAACACCTGGTGCAGCCAGATAGTGGTTGTTCCTGTCTGTCACATGCCTGTCACTGCGCGCGCCGTGTCGTGGCCCTGTAATGGATAACACTATCAGACGGTCTGATCTCTAGAGGGCCGGCCGGGAAGCTCTTCAGGGCTGGGCCTTCCAATCCCGAACAGAGGAGATGAAAACAGCTCAGTCTCTGTGCTCTTCCTGCCAGCTGGCTTGATACTTGAGCCGGTGTCAGGTTGACATGCTCCAAAGCAGCACATGCTCTTTTGCCTCTCCCTTCCTTTTACTCTTCTCACTCTGTCCTCCCGTGCTTCAGTTAGCGCTGCTCTGTTCTTCTCTGCCGTGTCTCTCCCCAATGGCGGTCGTCTGGGAAGACTTCCACAGGAAAGTGGGACTGTGGGGCGGTGCTATGTGCTCTGCCTCTCTCTCCCCTCATCTGATCTCTCCTCTATCTCTCTTTTTTTCCCTCCCTCACTCTCTCTCCGTCGGTCCGTCCCTCCCCCTACTTCACTCTGCCAGCAGGCACAGCGGCACGACACACACACACACACACACACACACACAAACGCATGAGTACACACACTCACTCGAACCCTCCCTCCCTCACTCTCTCTCTCTCTCTCTCTCTTGTTAATACCCTTGCACACAGACGCAAACGCACACACTCAGGCAGTCCAAGAGTAAACAGAGAGAGAGGGAGGGAGAGAGAGAGAGAGGGGGAGGGAAGAGAAAAAGAGAGAAGAGCCGCTGAGCCAAAGAGACAATGGAGAAAGGGAAAGGATACAGAAGTGGAGAGTAAGCAAAGAGAGAGAAGGGGAAGGGGTGCGGGTGGAGGGGGGTTTGATGTTGATACCATGAGAAAGCATAAAGGCTTTCACATTTTTCCTGACTGACCTGCTTTTCATCTTGAATGTGACCTCTCTCCAGTCTATAACAACACCGAGAGAGGCGAGAGACAAAGTGAGTGGGGGGAAAAGAGGCACTTGCCAAATCTTCCACAGCTCTTGCCAACCTGGACCGCTGCCACCTCCAATCCCAGAGAGACGGACAAACCGAGAGACAGAGATAGAGCAACAGTGGAGGAGAAAGACGGGAAAAGAAAATAACGTGGCATTCTCTACCTGCTGCTCTTTGAAAATGGGTTTCTCCAGCAAGCAGAGAGCAGGGGCCATTATCCAGCTGCCTGCCTGCCTGCACCCAAGCAAAGCCTGCCAGATTAGTACACTAACATGAACGCAAGCCAAAAAGGGTGCACATGCAAACACACAGCTTGGACCAAGTTCGACACACATACACACAGAGGCAGGCAGGCAGAACTGGTGGATTTAAGAGGGAGGTTTTGCAAACATTGGCTGTCCCCTGTTAGAAGCTGCTGTCTTTATGAGCAGTGAAGAGAAGAGTGATCCATCTCCCCATGTGGCCGTGCCATCCTCGAAGGCAGCGCTGGCTTGGCAGCTGCCACGCTGGAATGCAGATTTCCTGCCAGGCTTTATAAATGCCATTATTCAGATCTGTTTCGCTCAAGGGGATGCACACATTAGCATCAGGACACCTAAGCCTCTTTAAAACATAGACATGTCAGGTACCTGCAAAGTGCAGCACCTTGATGAGCTAATTAAATACAACATGGAAATTGAGGGTGCTCTGAACTTGGAGCATAAATTCTTTGAGGGGGAATTCCTTCTGGCAGGTTAGTTGGTGGTTGTTTAAACTGACTGAAGAAAGGCAAGAGCAGCTCCACCTCTTCAGCCCTGGGTACTGTAGCCGGGGCTCTGTGGTTGTGGTTACATAAGCCCTTCATAGAAGCCCTGCTCCCACTGAGCCGCCAGGCTAATCCTCTGGGATGGAGAGCCCCACTAATCCCGCTGCAGGAGAATGGAACTGAAGACATTAACCAGGATTACTACACAGGACCGTGTTCGAGCCAGACCAGCGCCAGTTATCACAAAGTAACCCCTTAACATACAAATCCGAATTTATACTTGGACCCCAATATGCAGGAGACACCACATACACAACCGCAAACCAGATGCAATAACTCCTCTGGACCAAACGTGTTTTAAATGTCACATTCAAGCTGCTGATAACTACTGGGAGAGCTAATTCATATACATTTGATTTCAAAGTAGATTTTAGACTTGCCGGGCAAATGCAGCAAGCAGTGATGTTTCAAAGTCATTTTGTACTGGGAGCATTATTTGATAAGGTGTAGTTTTCCATTGAGACAGGCTTTCCCTGTAATCTTAAATAGAAGGGTATTAAACATTGCTTCCCATACTCTGATAATGCATACGGAGTAAGTAGTGAATTAATATTAGTATTAAGTTATTTTGTTCTGGTGGCAATCACTTAAAAGGGATAGCCTCTGCTATTGTTTCGCACTATGGTAACATTTTTTGACAAGGCAGCACATCTCCACAGAAAACCGGCAGAGACGTTGTGAAAAGTCAAAGAACAATGTCGACTGAAAAGGTCCAATATTTCTGGCTTCTTGCTCAGTAACTCTTTTTCTCTTCTTAGCTTCATCCATTGTCTTCCTCTCCGTGTCTTAGCCCTAGCTGTTGTATCAAACAGTTCCAAAATAGGCTAACTGGCTTCTATTTAGCTGAAGGCTGGTGAATTAACTTGTGCCGTAAAACTGCATGCACTTGCGAGAGAACAGTGGCCCGCTGCAAAAGTTACAGACGCAGAACCAAGATGACATATCATCTACAGATTGGCAGAAAGCAGCTGCCTTCCAGTGAAACTGCTTTGAGTTGTGCACAGAAAGCACTTGAAACTGCAAAGGTGCCATTTTTCCACCCAAGACCTGGCTTCTTAAAATTGCTGTTCAAATGTTGCATTTAGACATACAGTTCAGGCAGACAGTGAAAAGTAAAAGATATTCATTCAAATCAACATGACTGCCTGTAGCATCCAGAAACCAATACCAATAACAGATAAGAAGCAGATCTGCCTGAAGGGAATCCCTCTGCAAAGAGAAGTATGTATTGGATAGCAATGTGGGTTAGGAGATACATCAGTAACAGACTCCTGGATTGCATGCATCACACACTGTCAAGCACACTCAGACAGAGTGCTGGTGCTAGGAAAATAGGCAGAATGTCAGTGACCTCTGTGAATCAGCCACAGGCTTCTGGGTAATCTTCAGTCAGAGACAATAAACAGGCTGAGTTAATGACTGGTGCATTTACAAGGGCTGGCTGATAAGAGGCAGACTTTACAGCCTGCTTGATAAAAAGACAGGCTGCCTTGACCCAGAGAGATGGGGAAATGGCTCCAAAGAGCAACAGAGGCAGTCCAGGCAGACTGACACATAGTTGCATAGACACAACGTAGCAGCACGTGGCGGTTCCTGTCTCACTAACAGGAAGTAACAGCCGCATCACACGTCTATGCTTTAGAAAAAGAACAAGAGCGCTCGCGTTTCTACAAGTGTTGTCTACTCTTGTATCTCTTTTATTAAGCACTATAACTGTGTTGAAATTAAACTTCACAGGGAGAAGAAAGGTTTACCTTTTTTGGCAGTTTCCATCTCTTCTTCAGTCCAGCGAGAGCTCTCATTCATCTCCAGATTGGCTGTTAAAAAAAGAGAACCACAAAGTTAGAGAAGGCGGCAGGAGGGGGAGGAGGGGGAGGAGTGGGGTGGGCAGTTGTCACAAAGTCAGTTAGGGAGTGACTGACAAGAGGAAAGAGAGAGAGAAATTAGAGAAGAGAAATGAATAACGGGGAGGGGGCAGGGTAGATTGTGCTGCTTGCCAGTGAGGCAGTGCAGTGTGGGTCGCTGGGGACTGTTTGTTTTAATGGAGGAAGCAGGAAATCCAAGGAGAGAAGTCAGTTAATGATTATAGACATAACAACTGGCTTCTGTCCCTGCACAGGCTAGAAGCCAGGCCGACTCTGGCCCTGCCTGGCAGACAGTAGAGTGGAAGCCTGAGCTTGTGTGTCCTCTATTTGGACCCGTGAAGGGCACTGTGGGCCAGCTAGCCCTGCTGCCAGCAGGGGAACAAACAATGGCTGTTGGGGGGGGGAGGGCTTCTACAGCCTGGGTCACCTGGGGATTCCCTGTGAATAAACCTGTGCTGCAGGACAGACTGCAGCATACACTCACAACTGCTGATATATCAAAAATCTCTGATAGCCTGCAGCAAGAGTGTTAGTGTGTTCACGGCTGAGTTACCATCTGCAGGGGAAACAAAGAGCTAAGTGGGAGGACACTGCTGACACACTGATTATTTTGTCCTTAAATTATACTTTTGTCTTTTGCCCACAGATGGAATTTACATTTTTTTTTTCATACTGTCACAATTTTCTCACTGTTTTGTTTTCTTATTATGCCATTTATGAGGCAGCAAAGTAGTGAGCACAGGACTGAATTAATGGAGTGAAACAAAGGAACAACAGTGCACCCTTGTGGTGTGGGTTAGAGGCCCAAAACTAGGATAAAGGTGACAAAGTCAATGCCACGTGATGTTGGTGAAATACTTGGTTACCGGTGTACTGTTGCTTTCACACCTCAGGGTGAAAATTACTTTCCCCTACATTATTGGCTGTGGTTCTTCTAAGATCATCACAATAATTTATGTAAAATTCAGAAAGAGAATTTTTCTTTATTTACCGGTAACTTAAAAAGTTTTCCTTCATATCTGTGTGTTGTTCACCTTTATTTCTAAAGTTTAAGAGCAATGTGACTGAGCCCTATCATACACTCCCAACACTCAATTCATAGAAGTAAATAAGCATCATTTTGGAGCAGAGACTGACCGAGCTCATTGTTGAGTGGCGGTGTGGTGGTCTCCTCTACTTCACTGGTCATGGAGCGGGTGATGCGGCCCTTGCGGCGCCCCTGGCTGTTGGCTGTGCGTCGACCCTTGAAAGCCACAGTGGGCTCTTTGTCCTCTGCATCTTCACCAGAGGTGTCATCCCTGTGTTTGAGAAATGTCAACACAGTCAACAAAAGACACACAGGGTGTTTGAAGGTGCACATTTAATGGGTCACCGAGTCAAAGCCCTTTAGAGATTGGTCCAAGTTTTGGAGACATTGTTAAAGACTAGTTCAGACCAAAGCTATGCTTTATAATGTAGGTTATTAATGCCAAATACGTGTGTGTACCCAGTCCAACTAAGTATGTTTCACTGACAATAATCAGACTGAAGTTAAAAAAAAAAAAAAAAAAAAAAAAACCTGACACAAAAATATAACTGAAATGTTATACAGGAACAAAAGCACAGCATCACCAAGGAAGATAAAGAGATGGCTCATGACAGAGTCACAGATTTCAGGCTATGCTTACCAAATAAGTATAATGACACTTTCAATCTAAAATTTTACAGTAGTTGAAAAAATATCCTTCATTTCAGTAAACCGATGCAAGTGTAAACATCATACGCTTAAATCAGAAAAAGTAGCACACGTAACGGTTGACAGAGGTCATGGTTCAGTTTGTACCTCCATGTCGGGGTCATGGTCAACAAACCGTGACGTCTGAACCGAGACAGTTCAGGTTTGAATACAAATACCATTACAGGCCTACTCAAAAGTAAAATTAAACACTAAGAATCTTTTTGACATGGGAATATAGGCCATGCCGATATTCAGATGGCCACAAATGTTTCTTTTTAGAAATGTAAACTCTCATCAAATACTGTTACCAGTCCTGGAAAAGCATCAGATTATTGCTAAAATTGGATATCTTCAATCAACCAGTGGTAGCTCTGTCAATGAACCAAATTTATACCAAACCTTGTCATTATTATTATTATTTCTCATGGGTATGTTTAATTGCTCTCTCCAGATTTGATACAAGTTTGACCCCATAATGGTCAAAGCTAGCAAAAAGTATGTATAAGACAAAACTCAAGTCAAAGATTCTGACTCAGTATCAGGACAGAACATTTAGTTTCAGGACATCTCTTCCAAGGATATCCCCTGTGCTGTTTTGCTTCCAAGTTTCATTGGTATTAGCAAAGCCAGTTTGGAAACAGTCATGTTTATCTGCAAGAGGACAGTCAACAAGAGGATGCTGCAGAGTGAACCATAAACGTAGAAGACTGAATGTGAACGTGTACATGGAGACAGCTTTTTCTGCCTTTTTTTCTCCGAGATAATTTATTGAGTGTCAGCACAGTGGCATGTCAGGAGACAGCCATGGAGTTTGAACCCACTGCACCTCCATTCATCTTCCCTGCGCTCCATTAATCTTGCTGAGGGGAGCCAGTGGCACCCTAAATATAGGCAAGCCAGCTGTGCCAGGGACAGGCAGGCAGCAGGGTGTGCTGGGAGTCACAGAGTCCCCCGGCCTCGCCTCAGAGCAGGGAGGCAGAAGGCAGTGCTTCATCATCATCTTTTTGTCGACACAACTGTTAATAAATACGACCAGCTATAACTCCAATCTGCTGAAGTGTACATTCTCAGCAGACAACATAATACAGAGCGTAAATACAGACAGAAAACTGTTGTATTCATCTTTTTATTTTCAGAGATTACAAAGTAGTGATACTCCATCTGTTGTTTGTATCCTTTGCTGGCTCTGTGCCTGAAAACACCTCCTCCACCACCACCCCTGCTCCCACCTGCATACCCACCAGACCAACCCACACACACGCGCACACACAGACACACACATTCCTCCTTGCACACTGAAATCACAAAAATTGACAGCTAGGTCAATCATTCTGCCTTTTTTTCCCCACCAAAGAATCCCAGACAAACAAAATAAGCACATCATTTTAAATATGATACTTGGCATGCTGTATGGAAGGGGAGAACCATAAACAGGAAAACAGCTGTTTTAATAAGGGGAAAGAAAGGGAAGCTAGAATTTGTTGTAGGTGGAAAGTCTGCCTGTAGGTGAGTGAGTGAGAGCTCAAGGGTAAGAGTTTGATTAGATTTCCAGATCTGCTCCCCCTGGCCTAAAGTCACTCCTACTCTTTCTGCTGGAGCGGAGTTGGAACAATTCTAAAATAGTGAGTGGAAGAATTAAAGAAAGGGAAAAAATTGCTGCAGCTGTGCAGGTGGAGGCTGATAAAATATGGGGGAAATGCTCCCTCTGAGCTGCATCTTTCCCTCTCAAATCATTTTGTGCTTTTCTAATAAATGAGTGAGTAACGTAATCTTGTCAAAGCACAGTTACTCACATTTTTGGGAAATGTTTAAACTAGGCCTGTTTTGGTATTTGACCAGAACCAACACTGTATGGAAGTCACATTGGTGCATGCAGTCAATGGACAAATACGTCTGACTAAAGAAAAAAAGGCAGTAACGTATGGCTGTACTCAAGACCCAATCCAAGTGATGCTAAGTGTAAGTCAACTGCTATTACCGTAAAAATGTATAAGATGCATTTTAACACTTATTTTTTCATCTTAAAAGTTGGTTACATCTTATACACCGGTGCGACCAATATACAGGTAAATGCTGACGCACGCGCCACCATTACCGCAGGTGCAGCAGCCACTATCACTGCAACCTGATGCGATTAAAAAATGCATCCCCGTTCATTGTGTATTGAAAGCTGATTGCACGCTGTGCTGGGAAAGACAGTGAAACATACCAGGCTGGCAGCGCTACTTTTCCACATCTTTCCTCCCTCACCAGGTCATAATCATACATTTACAGAAAACGGTGGGAAATTGTTCCTTAAATAAACCTTGTCGAGTGCTCTTTTGATTGAAAGAGTGCTATATCAAAGTTAAAGAGTGCCTTCGGAGCAGGGCAGCGTGACATTCTTTGCGGGCGGCCCAGTTCTAATCTCACCTGTGGCTCCTTTCCGCATGTCATTCCCCACTATCTCTCTTCCCGGTTTCTGACTTGTCCACTGTTCTCTTGCATAAATAAAAGGCATGAAAAGCCCAATAAAATACCTTTGAAAAAAAAGAAATAAATTCATCTAATGAATAGATCATACACAGTTACAGCCCTTATTTACATTATGTTTGTACATTTAGTTTGATTTTATTACGGTTTGTTTTTTAATAACCACTTGATTACCCATTAGATTTTTCTCAGACTCTTGAACTTGTAACACGTTGAGTTTCCCTGAGTGAATTGTAAACAAAGTTGATCTTGTCTTCGGCTTATCTATTCAAAACAACCATGTTTGTTTAAAATGAGTTGTAATGTGTATTAAAAAGAGACTCACTTCATTCCATCCTCTTTGTCTTCGGCTTCATTTTTCTCCTCATCCCTCTCTCCCTCCTTCTCTTTCTCCTCCTTCTCCTTGTCGTCCTGGCTGCTCCGGTGCACTTGTTGCTGTTGTTGCTGCTGCTGGCCGTGCTGTGACAGAAACAAACAATGCACTCTGTTACAAAGAGAACCCCGGGTAACTTGATCTACAGACTTACTAACACACACCCTGACCTCTCCTGTAACCTGTACACCCAATACAGATGCACCGTGCACAATGTGTGCTACCGCATACATGAAAAATAGATGCAATGAACACCTACAACATGTTGGTAACATTTAACAGTACAGTTACTGGGTCCATGAGTCCAACACAGGTAAATTGTGAATTTTCTGGTTAAATGATCCGAGTAAACGCCTGCAAAACTATTATGACATGAGTTAGGCTGCTTCAGTGTATGTCAGGCAAATGTGTTGGTTTCACTTCAGCAGGTTTCTCAAATCTCTGCCTACAATTACCAGCTACAAACTCCCTCATAACCACGGACATCGAGTGTGGCACAGTTAGGAGGCACTGTAGCAGATCTGATATCTCAAACATTAATCAGACTTAAATGTACTTTCAGTACACAGTCATATACGGCCTGGTGTCTGGATGGCTGTTAGATGTTATAACACCCACATCATGTATTTACAAAGAAACATAAACCTTAGAACAGCTCCTGCTGATTTGAATGACTTATTGTTTTTTTAATACAGTACAGATATAACCAAGGGAATTCTATTCATTTTCTGCATACGTAAAACAAAACAGGATGCGAAAGTTCCAAAATATGCTCGTTAAGCACCCATGAACCACTTCCTTACTGACTTCCTGCCTGTCTGGCCTTTAGGGGTTAGAGTTCAAATGAACGCAGACATGCCGTCTGACCAACAAATGAAACCACTACTTAACACAGAATCAGAAAAAGTATGTTTGCTTTGTCAAACTTGTTTTTATTATTAGATGTATTTTCAGCTCTTTGCCTTTGAGCTACAGCACTGCTCATCTAAAGAACCTTTGTGGATCTCTACTACATATCTGCCCTAAATAAAGATGGTACATGAGGCTGCTTGCAGGGCCACATAAAAAAAGAAAGGAATTGAAAAAGAGAAGGAGTGAGTGCAAGAGAATGAAAGCGAGCGTTATCATACAACAGAGGAGCAAAACAGCAGAGAGAAAAGAAAGACTAAAAAGTCTTTAACAAAGGGGGCAGCTCTAAAGAAAGAGGATGACGACAGAGCAGCTTCTCTTCTTTAGCTATTTTAGCTAGTATTTGTCCTCCCCATCTCTCCAACACCCAAACATGATATCTATTAGCATTTTGCAGCTGCTCTGACATATAGTGGTGCGCTTTCTGTTCCTCCTCTGTAGTTGCCTCCCTCTGTTTCTCTGAGCTATTTGTGCAAGCTGCTACTCAACTAATGAGCAAAGGGTTTTTCTTCAGGAGAGATGAGGAGACAACATCCTCGTACTCACAGGAAAAGGTCACTGGTAAATTAATAAGCAGTCCCTGAAGTGCCGGCTTCTATGTAGTCTAGCAGCTAATATCTGATCAAAGACTAAGTTAATACTAGCTAATTGCCAATAGAGTTTACCCTTTTATTAAAAAAAAGACAATTGTAGCACATGATTGAAAGAACTTCATGATTATTAGTGTGACACTTTTTCCCTTTTTAGTGGAATTTCTGCAGCTTTCAGTACACCACTGTTCTGCAATGACATCAGTGTATCCTCCAGCTCACACAAGGCATGTTAAAATGAAAAACAAGGCTCCGTATTCTGTTGTATGTGAAGTGTTGAGTCATGTTGGTGCTATTTTTATGCCTGATACCAATCCCTTATCTCAGATGTATGAATGGCCAAGCGCCCTGTGCAGCCAAAGGTTAAAACTGCACATGGAAAAGTGTAAATGTGAGTGTGTCTCTGTTGTCCTGATTAAATTAGAGTTATGTCTTAAAGTAACAATAACACCAGACAGGATGAGGAAATAAAAAGTGGTAGATCTTGACAAACTTGTTTGACACCAGAGAAAGGCTGCAGGCCTCGAGTAAAATGACTGACATGAAAATCAAGTGTGTCTTTAGCTAGCATATGGCTCAGAGACTGACAGCAGCTGATTTCATGGTTCCTAGCAATAGATAAAGAGACATCCAGTAATTCTGCCTGTACTGATCTTCTTCAAACAAATGATGGATGGTTTTCCTCAGATTGTCAAGCTTACAAAGCTGGTTGTGTCATCTAGCTTTAAAGCAAAGCAGAGTATCATTTGGAGAGAACTTCAAATGGGAGAGTACCTGGCTTCTTCCTCTGCGTCTGTAGTTCCTCCGCACTATGTTCTTGTAGTTTTCATTCTTTTTGGTCAGGTAGTAAAAGAGCACACACTCAGCCACAGTCTAAAACAAGAAAGAAAGGCTTGTTGAATTGATAATGTCCTGAGTTAACTGGAGGAAAAGGGTGAGAAAATTGAATCATTACCTTTCTCTCCAGGAAGGAGGCAATCAGACCAAAGTTTTTAGGGTGCTGTATGAACCTGAGGGGAGCAAAGCAGAGAAACTTTTACAACCTGATAATAGAAGAATTCAAAACAATTAACGAATGACTCCAACAAAAGTAGAAAAAACACGGAGACAATCACCAAGAAGCTGACGTCTGTTCTGGCACAGAAAAATACACGATCAAATATTTTACAAGAGATCTAATATCTGGACACTTTTAAATCAGTGATATTACCAGATGAAACTGAAGCTCTTACTCTGCCTGTGGGTTGACTCTAAAGTCACAGATTTTTAACTGTGTGGGTTTGATCCAATTTGGCAGCTTGTAAACGCCTCCACTCATTTCTCACGAAAACAGAAGATTCACTTCCTTACCAACAACTTACGAGCACTTTGTTGGTCATACACACTTCATAGGAAGTAAGAGATGATTTGCTTTGTTTTTAAAGGGAGCTATTTAGCACTGTTTACAACATGAGAATGGGGCTGGAAGATAATATTGGATTTGATCAAAAATTCTAAGCGTGAATGTCAAAAGGACAGTCAAAGCACTCTCATCCCAAATGCTTTATTGTTCCAGTGAGGAGTATTATGAGGTGCACTTTTTTGCCAACAACATCCAACCTAAAAGATGAAACAATATTAAAAGAGGAAATGAGGTCAGCCACTGTGACATCACTGAAGTGTTTTTCTTACTTCTCTCTGAAAGTGTCCTTCTCCTGCTCGCTCCACATGTTCATCACCTGCCGGTCCTTGTACACCTTCATGGGGTCGTCCATCAGTCCGTTCATGTTAATGAACTTGATGCGTTGCTGCTCAGCGTCAAACAGCATGGGAGGAATAACCGCCAGCTGTCGCATTTGCTTCTCTGTGTTCTGATGTACAAAAGTGTCAAACAAAACACACACACATAAATCATCATGTTGGAATGAGTGGGCTGGTCTCAATGGGAAACTATCTGACAACATGGTGTTTACATTAGCGTGCTCTTTATAAAACCTAATGTGGTGAATACATTCTCTGTTTAAGTGTGAAAGTGTGAAAAAGAGTTCAGAAAACAAAACAGGAAGTTAGAGGTGTTTGATTGTCTCAACAGCTGGCTCCTTGATTACAACAGCTCCCCTAAAACAGACTTCTTTCCTGTCCCACTTCATTTCACAACTTTGTGCAAAATACAAACATTTATTAATGCTTGAGGTAAGACAGTGGGAGGGGGACTGAGGGAATGGTTGTGCTATCTTGACAAAGGTGTAAAGACAACCACATTAGACACACTGCTCAGTTTAATGGGACCAGAGGCCTGAACTACGAAGCGATTCAGCAAACCCAGGGTATCTTTTGGTTATCTGGCTTCACTAACCCTAACAAAGGAGATCGACCTAAGTGTTCCCATGAAGCTGGTTTTCACCTCGATAAATTAACCTAGAGTTTAATGAGCGTGTTCACACAGTGGAGGTGGTTCTAGCAGCACATGACCAATTATACACGTGAACACGTATAGCTGCAGCGACAATTACGAAAAGAACTCACCAGGAAAGAAAAATGCCAAGTGTGAGATCACTTAATCATCATTAGTGCACCAGAGATCTGAATATAATTCACACGCTAACCTTTAGCATATATGATGTGCAAATAAATTGTTGGTGTTTGAGGATTTCTTAAGCCTATTCCAACAGATTGATAGAATTATTTGAATAAATAACAAATCTCATTGTGAATACCTGTTTGGTTTGTATTGGTATAAAAATGCGTGAGCTATGAGCTTTTACAAATTTGAAGTGTAACTACAGCAACTCTGTCATCCCAAACAGCTTGAATTTGGCAGATGTGTTTCAAGTCAAGCCCATTTATTTACGTAATTTTCCTCGGAGAGCTTGAACAATGGCTAAAAAATGCTTTCTCAGACAAGACTGACACTGCTGAAACTGAATCATATCCAAAAGCAGCAGAATATGCAAGCCTTAACATTTGTACCTATGCTGACATTAACCACTGCATTCTCCAAATGAAGATTCATCACAGAACTATTATACTAAGTACACAGACAATAATTACTGCTGCACCAAGAGCAGACAGCATGTGACAACTGCACATATTAGAAATGGAAGAAAGAGAAACAGGAAGAGACTGTAAAAACAAAACAAAGAGACAGGCAGTAAAAGCAGCCAGAAACTATCAAAGTTTTGGAAACATTTCAATTAAAAGCAGCTGTGCTGCCGAGCGTGTTGCTAGGCTGTGGTGGCCTTAAAGGGCTAGTATTTAGCTTTGGTTAGCCCTGCTAGCTTAGGTACCTCAAATATTCCTGTGGCATACAAAAGCATCTGTATAACATCTGCTTTAAATGCTAATGTTGCTTGGCATATGCCTCAACTAAAAAAGCCTTTATTGCAGAGATTTAGGAAGGCTTTGGTCACATACTGCAGGTTATATTATCATGATGTGGGTACTTATATCTTAATCATTTATACTGTAACATTTATTCATATTATCGGGAGTTTTTTTCTACAAAGAAAATGTTTTTTAATTTCAAAGCCACATGGTCTATCTAACTTTTGTTATTCATTCTCACTATGTGCATGTCATTTAAACTAATTCAGACAGGCTCTTCCAGCTCTTTAAAGATTCTGATAGCAGTGCCAACCCTTTGGGCGTGTGCCACTAAAAATAATCGGATAAACAAATGTCTAGCAACACAGCAATTTGAACTTCAACACTGTGATAGTGTAAACAAGGTAGTGCAGAAGGACAAGAAGAAGAGGGAACCACCCTTGCAGGAGAGCTTACCTCGTGCTCTGATATTCCATCTATGATCTCAGAGACCTCATGTTCACTGCGAGCTGCAGACGAGGTCAGCCCACCTCCTCGCTGCCCAACACGGCTACAAGGACAAATTCAGAAGGCCCGTCAGTAACAGCTACCCACAAAGTGCTGTAACTACAACACCTACATTGTGCAATAAAGCAAATGTCAGCCTCAATAAGCGCTGTTAAGAAGCAACAAATCAAATAATTACTTGTGTTCCAGAATAGATCCGCCTTTTACTCTACCCATACACAGAGGTTTTGAGCTGAAAAAAGTGGTCTGGGGTTTTAGTTGCTCTTTAAACATCACAGACTGTGGTCGTGAAACAGAAAACTAAATCTGTGATCTCACCTCTGCATGCGCTCCTGCATCTCTCTTTGCTTGCGGATCTCTGGGAACTGTTTCTCGTAGTACTCCCGCACCTTGCTCTCCTTGGCCCGGCGCCGCGGGTTGTTTTCGATGCGCTCCACCTTCTTCTCCCAGGCTTCCATCAGCTGGTCATACCGCTGGCAAAATTTCTGTTCCTGAAGCACCGCAGAAAAAAAAAAGAAGAGCTCAGTATGCTGCAGTTGCTATTCACAGAACTATCAATACTATGTCTTTATGCGCAACATTGAATAGTTATTGTGAACCAAAACATCCCCAGTGGCACAGAGTGACATTTAAACATAATCTTAAAGTTTTACACTGTAATGTTAACACAATTTGTTTTAATGTTCTATCTTGAAAACTGTACTTTTCCTATTAGTACTGCTTTGGCAATTACTATGTTTGAAGTGGCCTTCCTAAAAAAGCCTCCTTGAACTTGTTATTAAAGGCTGCATTATAATCAAAAGATCCCTTTCATCAATAACTATTTTCAGCAACCTTTTATTCGGCTCTCTGTTATGTCCAATCATGTGTCTCTCTAGATGTTTTGGGGGATAGATAGGAGCTGGTAGTTATATTCTGAGCAGACAAAATAACCTCTGTGAGAAACTCTCCTCACTTAGAGCTAGACCACACTTCATTAGCAAGAGTCATTAAAAAAAACATACATTATTGTAAAGGGAAAAACTAACTAAAGGCACAAAGTCATGAAACTACCACCACTGTTTCATAATGCCAAAAAAATGTTGGATTGCAATCTGCCAAGAGGGAGTACCGTATATATGTCTAAGTGGGGGAAACAAGTGGCTTAAAATGTAATGATTGCACTGTTTTGGCATCACTATGTCATGATAATCTTCATAAAGTGCCTTTGAATTTGTCATCAAAGGTTGCACTATCTATTTAAGATCTTTTTCCAATTAACCACATTAAGGGACCTTCTTGAGCTCTCTTTTGTGTCCAACCATGTGTCGGGGGGGGGGGAATCTGTTGGTATTCTATGGGGAGTCTGGCCTGAAGCCACGACCCTGGCAGACGAAGCCCACTGTTTTCCCAGCGTCCTTGCAGGCAGATTGTAAAGCGGAGCATTAAACCTGGAGGAGACACAGCCCTCTGCAGGCTCGTAAACCACAGGGTGATGTCTCCCACCTCACTGCCCACGAGGAGCTCCCTCCCCCACTTAGACTCAACAAGAGAGAAGACTGGACTCTCGCCCACGCCTAACAGGCTCTGATGCAGGTGCTGCGTTTCAACTCCTCTTTCTCCACTCACATAAACTTTCAAACTGCAGAGCTGTGAGAAGGCTGCTGTTGGCACCAACTCAGCGCTTGAAAGAGGTTTTGAAAAAAATGCAATTTTCCCACCATATTTCCCACTTGTGGGTAGCGGAATGCTCATAGTAAAACTTTGGACTTGATTTGTTATAATGATTTTCTGTCAAGCTAGTTGATTTTAAGATGTCTGCCTGGCTCTGGCATCAGAGCTCACCCCAATTGATCCCAGCTTCATTTATAGTCATGCTCTTTGGCTCCGTCTCGCTCAATCACTGCCAGCACAGACTAACCCTGCTCATTAGATGTGCTTGGCTGACAGTGAATGTAACAAGTATAAAACAAAATGTTGGGTTTTCTTTCAAAGTATTGTGGGAGACTTTTTTGTGAGGGGGAGGGGTGGGGGGTTGTTGTTGATGTTCAAAAGCAGTCACTACCCCAGGGCACAGGAAGAGTACTGACAACAGATCATGAACCAGAGAGCTCTATTCCTCTCGTGTTTGTCTAGGATGGCCACATACTTCAAGAAGCAGCTGGCCCAGTTTACACCAGTCATCTATCATGGGCTGATTCCCAGCAGAGAGAGTCAGAAATGTGAGCGCTGTACTTACCCACTGCTTACGAGCATGATTTCTCCTCTTGAAGTACAAGATGAGCTTCTTCCTCATCGCCTGGTTTCTGTGAGGGATTAAGAAAGGAAGAGAATGATGGAGAGAAAAAGAGGGGCAGGGGGATAGAAACAAAGGATAAGGCACTTTGGTTAGTGCTGCGGCTTTTATCACATAATAAATTGAACAATATTTCAGCTATCCTTTGGTACACACTTTCTTCCCGCCGCACCTCTCTGTCCCTCATCTTTCTCTAATAAATAAACTAAACCCACACAGACACACACTGTCCTCGTCTGCCACCCCTCGATGAAGTGAAACTAGCTTCTGGGTGGAAAGGCCAGCGAGGTGAGCCAAAGTTATAAAACTTGTCTGGGCAGGAACAGCCAGCCACCCCGCTTCAAATAAAGGTCAGGGCCAGTAATCTCCTTAGGCTGCCTCTCAGTTTGTCTCTTTCTTTGCTGCAAGACATTTTACTCCTGACACTTAATCTGTCAGTTGTAAGGTCACGTTCCCTGCTGATTAATGTAATCTTATTCTACATTAGTCACTTCAGCTGAGCCGCAGGGCCTGCCGGGTCACAGGCAAGGACGGAAGACGAGAAAGTGGGCTACTACTAGTGGTAAATGGGTTTCAAGGAAAATAGAAGATAGCAAGATAACTATATGGACTTAAGAGGGATAAACATGCGAAATGACCCAGTCTTCATTAAGCAAACACGTTATCTGCAATAACAAACCCAAGTTCAACTTAAACAGCCTTAACCCCATCCTACATAAACACTCCTACACAAACAAACAGACACAGGTTGAGCCAAATGTTGCATCAGAAAGGAACAGCAGCCAAATCCTGCTCAATACGTTCGATATCTGCACCCATTGAGGGAAATAATGGGTGAGAACTAACATGGTACAGCACAAAAAAAAATGGCTGATAGATTCAAGACAGAGATGTCATTGTACTCTGGACACCAGATGGCAAAGTGAAAGATTAGAAGGCCTGAACTCCTGCGAAAGGTTTCCTTTGTCCTGCACTAAGCCTGTGCCATACTCACTCAAATTTAGTAGAATACTTCCAAAACATTACAGCTCAAAGACCGTTTAATAGGTGATAGAAGCACACTTTAGGAAAGCTTTCCGGACATCAACATGTGTCCATAATTTTAATTTTCTGCATGATGCAAAGGATATTTGTTCATTTTTCCTCATCTGAGCGGAAGATAAACTTCACGTGCAGGATTTAAAGGCGGAGAGCTCCACAGAGATATTCATACCCATCTATCCCAGCAGGGACGAGCGCCAAGGTTATCAAACTGGTTAACTAAACAAAGAAGTCAATTGTGCTGGGTCAAAGCTACACAGTGGTTTTTAATGACATGTGCAGAGGGAGAGAGGAGAGTCTGCAGTTAATTCCTTTGAGGCAATAATACTGATGAAACGGTGCAGAGATCAAAAGGAGTGAAGACAGAGCCGTGTGTGGCTAAGAGGTCAGACACGTCTTGTGGTATGCTGCCACTGTGCCCAAACCTCTGTGCCAACGATGGAGACGAGCTATTATAACCCTCCCTCAGCCCTTTGATGTGCCTCAGTGAATTATGGTACTTAAAAGATTACAGATGCACATAAGCCTTACTGATAGACATGGCTTACTCTCCTGCTACTCTTGCTGCAGATACCCACTAAATAAAAAATGTATTAATCATTCACTTGACACAACCTTGAGAAAACCTCATGTTGAGAGGGAGAACATTTTAAATTATAGCTAATTTTGTCTAATTGTTTGAATAATACAGCTTCAGCACAATCTATACTCTGTTAGTAGCAATTACACAGAACTACAATCCAAACATGACTTGCACTATCTTTGCATCTGTCTATGTACATGTAGATACTTTAGACTTAAAGGGGTTGCTAATGTTTGACATTATAGTTTTTCTGTAAATCTCTCATATATATATATATATATATCATACTCAAACTAAACTGCATGCTGTTTCAGTGATAAAAGTCCAAACTGCCCTCACGTTTAGTTCAGTAAGTTGCTTTAAAACTGAGCTTACATAATGATCATTTCATATCCCCCAGGATGTCCTCTTAGCAGTCTGCCAAAGGGGAAGAGGGAGTTGAGGTCAGACCAGCTGCAAATATACAACAGCTACGAGGAAGTAACAACTGCTCAGGTCAATAAGTACCTGTTCTGTTTGTAGTGGAAGTCATTTTAGTGTCACAAAGAACGAGAAAATACTTGAATTCCCCCAGGCTAATGAAGAATACCACTTCAAATAATGTTTCTTAGAATGCAAACAAACATGCCCTAGGTGCACTGGTTAAGCTCAGCTGGTAGAGCAGGATCCCAGTATACTGAGGCTACAGTCCTGGTCGCACTGGTCACAGGTTCAACTTTCGTTCCTGATGCTGTTTCACACGTTCTCTCTCCCCACACACCCTGTGTTTCAACATCTTTCTTACTCAAACATGTTCTGATCTTCTAACATTTGAAAGGTTCAAACTCTTTTGTCAAGTACATTAACATGACATGATGATTATTTACAATTGATGATTATTTCAGTATATTAACAAAAAAACAACAACATCCATCTTAGAAATGTGTGGTGACACCGTTTGTTCATCAGCCTATCTAAAGATGAACGTCATCTCCTCATAGAAACAGGTGTGTAGGCATGTGAAGAGAAAGACTCACATCTTGATGTTGTCATGGTACTGCTTGGTGTCAGATGGCTGATTGTACAGAGGCTGCAGGAAACAAACAAATAAAGCAGTTATGCATACATTCAGTTGTGAAGGTTATAAACAGAAACTGATAAATACTGCTCACATGCAAAAAAAAAAAAAAACAACTAAATGCAGGATATCAGGACATTGCAGACGTTTGTTGTTAAATAATATCAGTGACCTAAAATTCTGACAGAAGTAAAATAACTTGATCAACATCAACAGATGTTTACATGTTGCTTAGATTAATTGGGTGAATGTAAGTTTAAGAGGAATATGTATTGATCAATTTGTAGGCTGACAGAACAGTAGGGATTTGAGCAGATTTTGTATTTTAAGTGTAGGAGTATTAGGAGAGTTTTTAAATAGAGTGAGGTGAAAAGTTATCTGCAGGGTTGAGTTTCATTTACTCAGCAGGTTTTGGTACAAGCGATCCATTACCGCTGCTCCCTGGTGTGATTTCACACAATGTTCAATATTGCTTAATGGAGCTTTGAAATTAATCAGATATTTTGACTTCATTATTTCACACTACGGATAAGAACAATATACTTCAGACTTAGTCGCCATCTCTTTAAAGCATCCCGCTGGTCTTATAACAAGATTTTTTTTTTTTTTTTTTAACCATGCCAAAACAAAAACACATGCGAGCAGCAGAAACAGAATACAAAACCAGAAATCAGACTTAGAATCAAAGCCTCCACTCACCAGTTCTACCCTGGGTCCCAGTCCCTCCAGTACCCTGTGAGCCTCTTCTGCCTTTTTCTGGAGAGGGAACATAAACAGAGGTAGTACATTAGCCGGCTGCCTGCACTTCTGCCATCACCAAGGCAACACAGTGAGCATGCTCACTTGATCACCGAGGCTACATCGCTGGATGGGTGAATGGCTGGAGGTATGGAGGGATGGAGAAATGGCTGCAGAGACTATTATTAGAGCTTTTAAAAGCAGGCCTAGCCACAACTCCTTGTCTCAGCTTCCTCTCTCTCCTCCGGCAGAAAAAAAAAAAAAGAAGGTTTAACTCACCTCCCCTGAGCGGAGAGAGGTAGAGAAAAAGAGCAGGCAGCCAGGATAACAAGTGGGAGTGGAAGAGAAAGTGAGTGGGAGAGGAAGAGGGAAAAAAAAAGTCAGGGAAAGGAGGAGGGGGCTAAAGGGCTTTGGTGCTTATCTCATAAGAGACAGAAGATTTGACCTCCAGCTTTCTACCTACAACAATCAGCCTCAAAACATGAAAATCCTGGCAGAGAGTGTGAAGACAAGATGAGAGGTGTTTGGAAAGGAAGCTGTGCAGTAAAACAAAATTCACATCTGTGTCTGTGGATGATCCCCCCCCCCTCATAGAATTATATTTAGCTCGATCAGACAAACGTGTGAGCAGTGTCCCAGACTGCCCCCTCCATGTTCGCTCCACTTTTTCTCATTTCCCTCTCTCTGCTTCATCGATCAAACAGACTCTCCTTAGTGACACGCCACATGCTCTGTTGCTTTCCATCTCACTTCATTTCCTTCAGTGACCGCACTGTGAGGATGTCAGGGCTGACACGTTCGCAGACAGGAGGGTAGGACAGTGAGGGAGAGAGGTTTTTTAACGCTGATAACAAAGACCAAACCTGCCAGAGCGTATGTGCACATCAACTTTTATTCCTCAGCAGCCTCTCTGTCATGCTGCTTCCTTGTCTTGTTCACTCTGTCTTCATTGTGGAGGTAACGCAGGAGGTGTTAGGGATTTACTTCAAGTCTCACGCTAACATACTTGGATGTAAGACCCCAGAGCAGCTCACGCACTCAGATTAACTTGAGTCAATGCAGTTTTCCAACTGGGTCACATTTGAGGAGGCAAATCAGTGAATGGCCAAAGTTTTAAAATGTCCCTGAACATCCCGCTTAAATGTAATAACATGTTTAAATATAATGCAACAACTTAGTGTCATTATTCTTCACTTTGCTTTGCACTGATCCAAGATTTCCTCATTCCTGCTGCTTCCTCAACATTGTTTACATAGACAAAAATACTCTGAACAAAAGTCTGAGCAGAATAAAAATAATGATGGATCAATATCCATGTACATGCTTGATTTAACCATGTCTTTCTGGATGGGGTAAAACTATTCTAACTGCACATGTCTTTTCTGAAATCACGGAGAGAGATTGGGGAACAACATGCGGGAAAGGAGCCACAGGTTGGACTTGAACCCGGGCCACCTGCTTGGAGGACCACAGCCTGACATACATGGGGTGCGCGCACAACTGCGCCACCAACGCCTCCTAACTGCACGTCTGATGGTCCGTCAAACCTGCACTCTCCCGCCGTTTTTCGATTGCAGGGCAATTATGTACTGCTGAGATTTCTACATTATAAAGAAGAGGAGAACGAAAAAAAATAAGAAAGGTTGAAATAAATTCAAAGTCACAGAAGTTGAGTGAAAGAGGGAGGGCGGAGCTGCAATATCTGGAGATGTACAGCGACAGCAGTGTACTAGACCGAAAATAATAATAAAGGAATAATCACACATCAGGGCTTGATTTCTGCTTGAAATGATCTACCTCAGGAGGAGAACTATTTTGAGACACGCCCATTAACAGACACATATAGGCCTACCTGACAAACTTCAAATCGGAGATCAATTTCTCACAAGCTAGAGCACATTTCTATGTATGTTAACAGGAAGGAACAGCTTGTTTTGCTGCTATTTCAGACAGATAAGACCGACAGGACAGCACTGTGCATGTCAGAATGCTTTTATTCGGATTAAATGCTTGATGCATGAACACAGACGTCATACCTCGATTATTATATTTAGCCTCCATGAAAACAGTGAAATTGGAATCCCAAATCTGAATGATTTAAATCAGACTGAATAAATGTTGTACATGTTAACAAAGCTAGTGAGAAGGTGTAAGTGTAACAGGCTGCAGAGTGTTGCCTCACAGAGCTCAGTCACTACAGCAACAGTTCATGAACAGCATTATTAAAAACAGCCTCTCATCCTAAGGCAGAGGGAAAGCTCAAGGTTGTCTCTTTATTTTCATTTTTCAAAACTGCATGTTACTGACCTTAAAACTAAAATGCTAAAAATGACACATTTAGCAAAGAGGAGAGGGGTTAATGAGAGCCAACAGAACTTTACTCTACAAGTGTGGATAATTACACAGAGAGCACTGCTGATCTAGTAAATTCTCTGATGATCCATCTCCACCACACAATTACAAACACACACAGAACCTCATTACAAAACCAATTGAGAGGCATTCTCCATTAATTCAGTTGGTATTTGAGGCATTACTGATACTTGTACCTGAATGTGGCCATGAGTGTATTTCATTATATGAACATGCTGTCTGGCATTTAGAAAAATGTTGTTCTCCCACGGGGATTGCATGATTACTATTTTTAAGCATGTGAGAACTTGGCACAAACCTACCAAAATAACAATGTGGGTGCAAACGCCACTAAAATCACATCACTTTTACTATCTCCCATTTAGAGAAAAATCAGGGGAAGAGATAAAAAAATAAAAATAAACCTTACATCATAATACTGCACGGACAAGAGGATTTAGCATAGCTCAACAGATTATTGAAAATGCAGTCTCACTGGGGCTGCCTTCTCTTGTGTTTATGCCCATGACAGCCATGTCCCTAAATATAAGAACAGTGAATTGGCGTCAAGCCGACCCTGAGGTTTGACAGAGGGCTATCAGTGAAAATGTGACTGTAAACCTGTCTGTGAGAGCTGGGGACACTGATCACAGCGGGGACAGCCGACACCATAGAGACACCAGCTTAAAGGCATGCAGAGGCTGGAGTAATTATGAACAGGTGCTTGTACTCACACATACACCATGTATGAACATAAAATACACATTCTACAGGCTTAACACATACTAACATTTACTCACTTCATGACTGAAGACTGAAAATCTATCCAGTATCAAAAGTCAAGCTGTTATGTGTTCAAGCCTGATGCTAAATCAGCTCATCAGCACTCTTATAATGTTACTGCTTTTACATTTTTAAGATTATTTTTGGGTCTGTTGCCTACAAGAAGTACAGATGAAGAGGGCGACAGGAAACGTCGCAAAATGCAGAGTTTTTGCCCTAAAACTAACTTTGATTTATTATTTTACATCTAACAAGAAACTGTTAAGTCAAACTGAAGTTTAGAATAAGTAAAAATGGATTACAATTAACTTAATCCACCTCAAATGAAGAAGTCGGACTGGATCATTACAGTAAACTCTTTTAAATAAGCATTACCTTACATGATGTGTGATAATGATTGCATGATTAGAGCCAATGCTTTGATTATATCTGCAATATAACTGTTAAAGGAATCAAAAAACAAAGGCTGATTGATTTTCTTTTTCTCTTACCTTAGGGTTTATTTCAATATTATGTTTGTATTCATATCAAATGTGTTTCTCCCTCTAAATTAATTTAGTTTCTGCTCAATTTATCCACGCACACTCACAGACAGACACAACGACTACACCTTTCGTTTTGAAAAGTTCTACTATTTCTAGGAGTTCAGCACAGAATCAGCAGCAAGCAGCTGTACATTAACATTTTAAAACGAAGCCAAGAGAAGAGAAGATCACATCAGCTTCATAGAAAGAGAGAGACAGAGAAGGTCCACTGTGCACATCTGCGCTCTCTCTCGCTGTCGTTGTCTCGCACACGCAGTAATTTTATGAATAAATGAAAAACTAAATAAAAACAGGTCAGACTTGGAAATATACTTCGGGCGGCCATAAATTTACTTGGGCAGCCTGCCCAGGTATCGTCTATGTGTGGGGAAACACTGGAGTAATTACAATCACATTACTGCAATATATGCTGTATAATGTGATGCAGGGCTGAATCCATTTTCCCTACATCCCCAGTTTTAGTTGTATTTCAAGCTGTATTAACTGAAATAAGCTGCAAAGTGCTTTTTTGAGTTATAAAAATGTTTTTGGTGCATCACCAAACTCAGGGAGGAGCAGCTGATTGCTCTGATTTGCATTATTGCAGGAAAATTGAGATGATGTAATCAGGTGTATAATCTGGCAAATGGAGAGGATGTTCATGGTGTCTTGTATACTGGTAAGATTCAAAAATACAGTGTAAATTCAGCTGACTTAATGTTTATTCATATTTTATTACGAATGCTACAAAGCTTTTCTAACACAAAGCTGAAGATTCAAGTTCAGTCCAGGGTAAGAGGGAGAGGGAGAGGGAGAGAGGAGAGAGAGAGAGAGAGAGAGAGAGAGAGAGAGAGAGAGAGAGAGAGAGAGAGAGGGAGAGGAAGAGGGAGAGAGTGAGAGAGTGAGAGAGAGAGAGAGAGAGAGGCAGTAGGCCAGAGTACATCCAGGCAGTAAGAGGGAAGTGGAAAGTGTTACAGAGGTCAAGCTGCATTGTGGAGTAAGCTATGAGTCATTCCTAAACATCAAGCCTTCCAAAATGGTCTTGAGCAATCTGCAGTGTCCTGCTGTTACATAAAAATGCTGTGATTTAGCTGCACTTGATAACAGTGAGGGGGAAAGTCATGAAGGACACTCCCTGTACTGTGCTTTTCCATTTTAAAGGGCTGCTCAGGACTTTGTGGCAGTTATCTGGGAACACCTGAGCAGGTTAGAGTGCCATGTCACAAATACATCCCCAGAATTGATATTTAGATTAAGTATCTTGCTCTATGACACTTAAAGCATTGTGCACAAAAAAGGTGGAGTGCTCGGGAAAAGGACACTGGGCGCTGCAAACGCTCTCTCCTCATTGGGAAAAACTGAAAAAAGAAGCTGGCACAGGTGGACACAGTCCTTAAACTAGGTCCTCCTTTGACATGTATTTTCTTTTCACACTACATTGCTTTACTATTCTATGAAATGATTTGCTTTGAATGTGTCAGAGAAGCAGCTTTTTTTTCCTCTTAGCTGTGAAGATTTAACATTACTCCCAGTTTCCCAGCGGGGTTTGTTCAAAGCGACTGAATCTGGGCTGTGATACAGTGAGAGAGGAGCTCTCTGCTTTGAATGCCAATTCCAGTAAAAAAAAAAAGAAAAAAGAAAAAGAAAAAAAAAAGGCACTTTCGCACTTCACCACAAGGGGGACTGAGAGCACTGAGAATCACTCAACTAATCCTCTGCACAGAGCTCTGCTGCACATAAGCATTTCTGAGACTAGGACACAGTTAACAAATTCAAATGTCTTTATATGACCTCTGAGCTGCAAGGGTTATCTTTCCTTGAAAGAACAGGGAATGTGCTATTCTTGCATAGCTGATAAAAGATCGGTTTCAGCTCGTCTGTGCATGTTACACGTGTGATTCATCATGCCTGCTATGTTGACCTTTAGTAGCCTTTTCTGTTAGGCAAGAGTCCCGCCTCGTTATGACAGTAAAGAGTGGGAGGCTCAGGTAGGACATGAACACACTTTGGAACTTTTTGACGAAGGCTTTTGAGGATTACAGAAACCAAGTAAAAGAAAAAAGACAGTTTTTCCTGGAAAAAAAAAATCTCCTCAGAGACTTGAGTCTAATACAAGGTACAGGAGTCATCCTTATTAGGGATGGGGACATTTCATTATTTTTAACAGGAATCACTAATTATGCAAGTCTTTATCAATACCACTATTGATACTTGTGCATTATTTGGCTGATAGACAAGACGGCAATATGTTTTGATTAGAACTGGATTTGCCTTCAGTGCTTATTAAATGACTGTTGCTGTGTAAACAAACATAGGTCTTTAAGTTTCTCACCAACATCTTGATTTTATTGACATATATGACATTACATTTAAACACATCATGATGACGTTTTGTTAACCTTTGTCTAATAGTCATTCCACAGACTTGACCTTGGACATATTATAAAGCAAAGTAATGTCACATCTTTGAGTTAGCTAGATAGCTTTTATCCTGCCAATTTCAACAGGGATTTCAACATTGGTTTATTTTTTTTAAACTAACGGCACTGGCTATAACGTTTGGGTGAGCTTACTCTAGCTGCTTTGAGTGGAGGAGGAAGATAACTGTACGAGTTGATGGGAGTTTTTTTCAAACATATGATAGTCAAATTCAATTCAATTGAAAAAACTTTATTTGTCCCCGGGGGGCAATTCAAAGGCACACAGAGCAGTAAATTAACAACAGTGCAAGTAAACGAAACATTTTAAACTAAATATAAAGTGTCAATTTAAATACAACTTAAAGTTACTGCAATTTGGCTTTCATTTGATGCACAGTGTTGATGTGCTTGGCCATGGAGGTTGTGTTTCCACCCTCAAGCAAGAGAATTGTTTGCAACATAAATTGCATTTCTCCTCCTCCTCATCTGTTGCTTAGGTCAAATGTAGCTAAACTTAAAGACATCTTTGCACATTCAGCCATCCCCGCAAGCAATTGATCACCAGGACTCTTGTCTGCGTGGTTAAATATCTGTTGGCTAATTATTACTTCTTATGCAAAAACCTTATTAGGCAATGTACAGTATGTTTGTGATTTCATATGAAAGACATGAATCGACTGAAAATATGACACCACGTTAAAGGACCCTCATCAACGAGACGCAATGGCAGTATCAATTTACTTAAACTTCCTTCATAGAACCTGGTTGCGATCCCCATCCCTTACCCACACTTTGTTGGCACAATCACACATCAGAAAGATGAGTGTTACAGCGTTACTTAGTTTAGTTTGTTGTCTCGCATCAGCAGAGTAAAAATAAATCAAACCATGGTTTAAAGTCAACCAGCTCTCTCTCTCTCTATTCATTACCACAAGTAAATGTCAAACTTGTTTATGTGATCAAGTTAAACCACTTTCAATTATAAGGTAGTTTTGGCTCAGTAGGGGCTGAGTGCATGTGGTGCATGTGTGTATTTTACTGACCCTGTTCTCGTCATAGATGATCTGCACCAGGCTGCGGTGCTTGGCCTCGCTGGGTGGAGGTGAGATGGGCCGCTCCGGCTCATGGGGCTTTGCAGCCTCCTCCTCCAGCTGTTGCTGTAACACACACAAAGATGATGGTAAGCACTTTACAAATCAGAACAAGGCCAGCATCTTCCAGTAAGACATGTGGCTAACCAGTTCCTGTTGGAAGGTTAGAGAGAGAGTGTGTGTTAGAGGCTGTCCCTCTCCTGCAGGGACCAGACTAACTGTCCTATTAGCTGTAATGGCTATTAACTCCCTGGGGCCTTGTTAATCAAAGAGTTACTACAACAGGCTGTAAACAAAGCCAAAGCCTGCTGTGAAGCTGGAACATCCAGTGAGAGAGAGAAACTACAGAGGGAGAGGGAGAGGAAAAGGAAAATGTAGGAGATAAATATCAGACGATGGTTAGAAAAACAACGTCCTTTAAATAACTAATCCATCTGCAGATTGTTTTAAGTTAAAAAAAACAGAACAGTGATAATTAGGAAGAAATGTTCACAAACCACAGGCATCAAGTTAGAACTCTGAGGTGGCAGAAAAATAAACTGAGGATGTAAAACAGACAATCTGGCTGGTTAATTTTTATGTTTCAATGCCTATCACACATTGTTCACTCAGTCATTCTTTTTCCTTCAATCTTTCCCTGAAGCTCTTTTTGAAGAGCAGAAACCTTTAAAGAAGCTAAAGGACATGTACTATAGGTATTTAAGCTGCATTCGGCTCTCACTGCACATTTTCTGCATTGTTTTGGAGCCTGGATAGTTTTTAGAAGCTGAAACAGCCTAATGTAAATAAAACCATGATGATTAGAGAGAAACTGATATCCATTCTGTGCAGATGTTAAAAACTCTCAACACTCCTACCCTTAACTACAACAATATGATTGATTGTATTATTTAGGTGTCATGCACACAAAGTACCCTTCCCCTCATGGGTTTATAAGAGACCAGAATCTCAGCTGCAGTGAGCTGTAGTCCTCTTCTAAAGTACAACTCAAGTTTTCATAATCATCTAACCAAAAGACATTTTTCTGAATAAGTAGCATTTGGATGTAGCCACTTTCTCCCTTCTGAAATAATAATAAGAAACAAGACAGATACGGCTCAAACGCTGAAATTATTTGGACTTTAAATTTTCCAAAGCAATTTAAGAAACAGAAGCGTTGCTAAATACTGTCATGAAATTGCTGCTGTATGTACCTTACAGCTTACATTCAAGTCTTTAGCTTTGTAACTCATCAATGTGTCTGTGTGAGTTAGCACCACCTATTGTGTTCAAACTTTGGTGTCCCAAACCAGGGTATAATTAGGACATCTAGTAATTAAATAACAAGAACAATTCATGTGTTGAATTATATATGATATTTGATACTGATTTAAAATTCAGGTTAAAAGCCTTTACTTAAAGGTCTGTTCAGTGTATTATCCTGCTTACGGTCGGTTGTTACAGTATATAAAGAGCAAGACCAAATGTTGACTGTTATCAGTTAAAGTAAAAAAAAGAGGATCATTAGGCAACCACTTTCTACTTCAATTAACTTACATACTGAGAGTCAACTTAGAAGTGTCATGAGCACCAAATTCTGTCTTCATTTTAACTTTATGAGATTTCAAAACTTTGGATTTTCTACCAGAATTGAAAAAAAATATACATTTTACGAGGAACAAAAGACTTAAAGCACCATAATTGCCTGCTGAATGAACAAAACTTGTGATATCAGAAACACCCTCTGACATCATACCTTGCATAACAAAGTGTTTGGACACCGTTATTGCACACTCGAGTCTATAATCTTGAGACAGCAGCTGAGTGTATTCAGCCATAACAAGCTGTCTGTAGGCCGAGGCCATGTGTCCCTGAGTGGCATGCATGTAGTGGATATACAGTAAAGACAGCCCCCTACTCCCCCTACTACTCCCCTACTCCTCTTCAGGGCTTCAGGGAGGGGACAAAATGCGTCCCGTCCCTAAAATCAAGAGGATCCACATGAGAGCAGAGCATGATGGAACATCATGCGTCATGATAGGCCTGGATAAGCATCTTGTGAGCAAAACACAGACATTCCCACCCCAGAGTAAAACTAAATAAATCAGCCATCCTTGGCTTGGCAGACACGACACAGGCTGGCGGTAACTTTAGCTGTTACCCCCGCCTCTCCACTGACTCTGCCAGGACTCTTTAAATAAAGTTTTACCGTGACACTTCATTACTCCAGATGTTTTAATGCTTGAAGAGAGCCAAACTGTAAGAAAATATCCATATAAACACTGTGTGTGTCTTGAGAGAAGGGGGTAGGGTCTTGATTTGTGCTTGTAAGCAGCAGAGCTTGGCCTCTCGATCATTCACAAGTTTTAACTTGCAAGTTTATTTTGCAGCTTCATTTATTTCACACTAGTGCTAAATCTTTTCTATTACCAAAGAGCAGCGTATGATCAGTCAAGGTGGATGCTTCTCAATAATCTGGCAAACATCACTGCATCAGGGGAAATTAGTTTGTTGGCAGATTTGATCAGCTTAAGCCAATTTACTTTAACTTCAAACAAAAAAGTCAAAAAATACTAAACTAAGTACAGAAAGCTGATTGATAAGTTCATCATGATCAAACTTATTATCAATATTGTTTGCTTATCAAAACAAAAACACCTACAAAGCAACATCCAGGATTTTTAAGATACATGGCAGCTTTCCATTCTTCATTTCTTTTGCGGTGTTCCTATTTAGACTGTTACACACTGCTGCACAACAATTTCCCTTGGGATAAATTGAGTTTTTTCCCATCATCTATGAGTCATTGAAGCCAGCTTTAGCTCAAGCTACGACAGTAGAAAGATGTCAGGATTTCATTTACAAGAGTCAATTGTGAGCAATAATAATGTCTGAAATGATGATTTCTTATTTTAATGATAGAGTAAATGAACAGTATTTCAATATAACAGCATGCACGGTGGGGGATTCAGTTAGAAAGAGTGAGCTCCACCACACAGTTCCTCTGAAACATGGCAGGCAGCCAAAAATCAGACCGTGTGGCAGGGATATGAGTGGTTTAGCAGTCACAAAACCTCTGCCATAATCCTCCTCCTCCCCCAGGGAAACGGTTATTTATAGCCTTATATATTTTTAACCTACTTTTCTCCTGAATAAAAAGCAAAAGAGAGGAGAAGAGAAAAGGGAATGCAGCTGCCTGGAGGACTGTGTGTGCAGAAATGTGGTGCACTGAGCAACAAACAGCCACAGAACTTGAATGCAGCGATTACAACAAAGCAAAGTCTTATTAAGACTTCAGTACTGCCAACTGAAGTCAGGCAGGGAAAGTCGCACTAAACCCTACGTGATCATTTTAAACAAGCCAAACACTGCTAATGAAAATATGTAACAAGGCGTCCAGCACTTTGACATCTACAACCACAACAAATAAACTCTTCAGAACCTTTATGTGCTTTTAGGCATCCTGCGCACGTGGTCAACAGATGTGCTGATTGCATATTAAATGAAATGATTACCGATTTTAAAAACGTAACAGACATAAGGACAGTTTCAAACTATTTTTAACATTACAATCCTCCGAACCCAAACACTAAACGATCTGACCACACACCTGCCATTTGTAGTTATGATTTCCCAGTGTGATTTCCAAAGACACAAGATCTCACAGAAACTCGTGATCAAACGTGACTGTAGAAGGCACTATAATGGCACGTGTGTTGTTGCCATATTTCCACTTGGATCGGAACATAGTAATGTTTATATATGTTTTTGAGCTGTAAAAGTATGTAACATCCAGTTGGTGATGCTTCACGGTCTGCTCGCTCTCATTGGCTGTCGCGGTTTACTCCTTCGGAGGCCGCTCCATCTGTAATCGTAACATTTGTTTTTTACAATTCAAGATCGGTAGGCTACGACTCTATTTGGGAGCAGTAAAACAATCGTATTGACACCACACACTTGAGCACTGTTTGGACAATTTATCGTCGCCAAAATGCCTTAAATGGGGTCACATAATCCTAATGGTTTGGGCGGGGGGCGCCGAGAAAACAGGCCTAAAATCGTCCAGTGTGTAGCCAGTCTAACTGTATAAAACAAAAACAACACAAGAAACATCATTGAAGCACACAGTATAAGAAATGTCCGTCTGTCTCCTATAATTCATATGTTGCAACCTAGGAAGGCCAAATCCTCTGCAAAACTCTGCCATCTTTGCGTTGCCAAATTTCTATTTTAAAGTGAATGAAAGTATGTAAACACACCAGGCAGAGCTCAATAAAGTTGCTAGAGAACTTCATCTTTTGTCATCTAGGTTAAAAGGCCCTGTCAGTTGGACATGTTCCCAACAACAGATCAATCCAGTGGTTTAGTGGAGTTACTCTAGTCATCAGAATGGTGAAGGATAAATCATTGTGAGAATCAAAGAGCTAAGCAGAAAAAATATTATATAATATATATTGACAAAGCATCAGTTTACACATTTTCAATTTGGGATCAGATCAATGAGTGTGCAGACCTGTTTCTTGCGAAGCTTGCAGATCTGCTGCTCCACCATGGTGATCTCCCGGTCCACGCGGTCCATGTTCTGAATCAGCTCCTCCTTTGAGAAGCGAGCCGGCACCAGATCCAAGTCAGGGTCCATATGGACCGGGCTCACGGGGGAGATTGGCTCCAGCTTTCCCATGGCACTTCCACGCTCCTATTGAAGAAAAGCAGAGAGGAACATTAGGAGGTTTAGAATACCCTCTTCAAAAGTACTTTCTATTTTATGCTTCATCAAAAGTCAAACGAAATAAATTCAAATACAGTGTGATGGGAGAGGAAAGATGAATTAACTCTCTTGTTTAAACTTCTGCCCTCCTCTGATTGCAAGGTCTGTAGGTTACTCTACAGGAGATTATCCCAACAGTCTGTGCATCATTTGGAAGGTAACACACGGCAATAATTAAGTCCTCTGAGTGATGAAAGCCAGCGTAGTGTCTCAGTGTCACTCGACCACACTAATGAATATGAGGTCACAGCCTCCCTCGCTAGCATAATGCATGCATCTTATTAAGCCCTGGCAGCTGGCTCTGTTTAAGAGACTTTGTTTGAAATGTGAAATAAAACGCCTTTGGGCTGTAGAGGGGAATTCAAAGGCCAGTACTACATGTGTGCAGATAATATCTGAATTGTAATAGTCTTCTGGCAGAACAATGGAAATGGTGTGCGTGTGTCAGTCAAACAACACACAGGGCAGCTCATCAACAGAGCAGTGGTAATAATGAGAGAGTTGATGAATGATGCATCAAACCATTGATCTCAGGAAGAGTATAGTACTGTATAGTCCATGCTAGGGCTGGGAATCTTTGGGTGTCTCACGATTTGATTTCGATTCTTGGGGTCAAGATTCGATTCAGTATCGTTTTTTCAATTCAAATTGATTCTGGATTCATTGATCCATGGGTTCAAAATCTATTTTTGAATGAGTACATACTTTAAGATCTACTCCAGTCATCTGTGGGACTGGCTGAATTTCATGTTGCTATTTGCCATTCTACTGAGTTAAAGAGCTAGCCTTAGCACTTAGCAGGGAGTGACTGATTAGCCCAAAAAAAATAAAAAAATATTTTTGGAAGTTATGAATCGATTTTAAATCTAAGAAGAATCTTGATTTTTACATAAATGTATTTTCCCACCTCTAATCAATGCACACACCTTGTGAGAAAACACTTCTCACATTATGAAGCTCTCATGAGGCCACGATGAACCGTCCTTCGTCTAAATAACAGCAACCACAACTGATTTTACAGGAAGAGGTCATTAAGCCACTGAAAGTGTTGAGTGTGCAAAAATGTGACCTACTAGTAATTCAGTTTAACCTCAAACTGAAATTATACAGAAAAGTGGTGTAAACAGAGAATTTGTGTGTCCCGTTTAAATCTGAGGATGTTTATATCTAGCGGTGTACCCATCCCCACCTCGTGATCAGTGACCTGCTGATCCTCTAATATATATTAAATTGTATGCCCGTGTCAGATTGGTACACAATCTGCACATTTAATGCGATACACACATCAACACAAACACTAAAGAGACAAGCACACACACACACACACGTTAACACGGCAGCACTGTGGACATGAGGTGCCCATCGAGGTTGAAAAAGCATTGAACATATTGACACTGAACTGACCACTGATACAGGCTACGTGTCCCCTGCATGTAAAAGTGTACGGGCTACAGGGGACGCTGCTGCACAAACCACGACATGGCGCTAAAGGCAGACACTGAATCACAGATTTGAAATGTGTTTAATCCTGCTATCAGCAACCCCTTGTCCAGGTGATTGTTCATGTAAACATACTGGCGGTGCGGATGTGCTGCTGATCGTTTACTTTAAATCGGCTACACCTGCAGCGCTCACAGTGTTTTGTGAATCACAGACAGGGTGAGCTTTCATTTGGGCTGTGATAACGAATCGATTACATTTTTTTAAATGGATTATTAAAATTGGCTGCAACAAACTGGACTATCGCTTTGTTGTGTTTCCCGATTCTTCCATCAATCGCAGTGATGCGAGCTGATTATGTAGCACACAGACAGCTGAGCAGAGTGTTGTAAATGTACTGTTTTAATAAACTTAAACTACTTAATAATGGTGATAATTCAATGATTAAAAACAATAATTGTTAAACAACCTTTTATCAAAATAAAGACCAGATGTGGCAATCTGAAAGTAGATCATTGATAATAAAAACAATCTTACAACATGTGAGTTATGTTTTCGGTAATGAGATGAAACAGGACTTAAGTTTAAGCAGTGCGCCGTCAGTCATTAAAAAAAAAACTATGATATTTTTCTCACTGTGGGTCTAATGTGTCTGTCAAAATACAAGCAGGAGGGAGGACAGGTGTGTGTGTGGGCTCCCAGGCACAGAGCAGGAGGTGCAGGCACATGTGTGAGTGAACGTGTGAGTGTGTTTAACAAGCTAACGAGTCTGGCCAAGCAGTGAGTGACTGAAGTCTGTATGGTATCATCATAGCAATAATCTTTTAATGCTAAGGCTTCTTAATTGAAGAAGAACTTTTACCCCACAATGACAGAACTTCAATTAAGAGTCATCAGTATGTATGTCATCAGTATTTATGTGAGGTAAAGCAAATATATTTTACACCCATTGTAAAACAAATGTATTTTTTGTTGTTGTTAAAGCAAAGCATGACAACATTTAGTTTGTGATTTAGTTTTTTACAATAACTATTCCTACTTTCAGATTATTTTAACAGGTCAGGGACATTCAACCTTTCTTACAATTCTTACAACCTGTTTTTGCTTGAACCTCTATAGCTTGAATGACTGATGGTTCAAATTAAATAAGAGAAACCTAGAATTATGCATTCAGTACTTTTGTTCATTTTTCCTCTTGTACCAAACTGGAACCAAACAGTAACTCCAAAGACTGAACCTAACAGTGACCTCAGTTACACCCCTATGAAAAGCAGTTCTCCTCAGATTATGTAAGGTGTCCCCACCTGATCTTGTGTCCTATATTGTCCCTGTCAAAATGACAGCAGCACATCAGCAGCTACTACACCTGCAGCATAGTGTGAAAAGGTCAAAGGGCAATAGCTAAGCCCCAAACCCAGCACGGCTTACAGCTTATATGGCCCTGACGACCCGAGTCACATTTAGAACATACCATTGCATGTCGTCTTTGGCTGTTCATGTGTCAGGTTATTTCTTTTTAAATAACCTCCAGGTGTTGTAGCGTGTCTGTGTAAATGTGTTCTGTTTATTGAGCACCAGCCTGTCTAACTGAGTCACGTACTCATGAGTATTCACATTCCAGACAACACATGAATAAAGCTCAAAGCATTTAAAGAGACACACACACCAAAACGGAGCGTTCTCAGAGAGCTGGTTTATACAGGGTCACAAACCTCCTCTGGTGCTTGATTCATGTTATATTTTGACCAAAGCACAGCACAGATGTTTCATTTGGACCACAAGAGACTGTTTTAAAAAGGTGGAAATATGGGGTATGGGGTATAACATGTCCTTTTTAAGCTAGTTATTAAATAACTACTGATCTCTCTTTATGAAATACTAAAGCGAAAGAGACTAAGAGAGATTCATTCTATAAAGTAATTTTGATGCATGAAACTGCTGCCAGGGATACAGTATGTGCCAGGCACAGTGTTTGACCTCACTCTGCTGAAACAGCCCTTTTTTTAACTTTAAAGATTTTGATGAATGATATATCTGACTGAAGTGAATGAAAGCTGGATAGGATTTGTGTGGAAAAAAAGCAATACCTACACATGTACAGGACTAAACTGGCAAGAAGATCAGACATTAACATTTGTCCACAGGAAGTTCCTAATAGGAGCTTTAAAATAACTTTCATTGCAAAAATATAAAAATGAATGTAATATCACACAAGAGATAGTGATACACTGAATGTCAGCACTGCTGTGATGTAGTCATACGCACAAGGCTTCATGCCTTTTAGATCAAACTGTAAAGACTTCATTTTTTACTTCAAATTCATCTAGTTTTACTTCTTAACTGAACCTTACCTGTTCCCAAGCAACCTACACACTCTCCTGCACTCTATGACTGTGTTTGTTCCCATGGTTACCACAGACCAGCTAATTAGGCAAAAACATTGCAGCGAATCAACTGACAAAACATGATGTGACTCAGGGTCTTCTTGCCTCATGATAGAATTATCTATCTTTTAGATTGAAGCTTCAAAAGTCAACACCAATTCATCTTTGATAGGCAAATACTCACTTTGTCAGCCAAGATGATTTATTGGTCTAGCCAGCCTTCAGTCTTGTCATGAAGGACACCATGCTAGCTTACACAGAACCATTCACACACATTGCCAACAGTGGTCTGAGCAGGATCCCTTTCTTGTGGTTTATTCAACTTTGTCTCATGAAGAGTTGCTTAACAGTATAAGTATGGCCGATGTCAGCGCTCAGTCTTTGAGTCATTTACAGATAGTAGTCATCATTTTTACCCATCAGCACCCAAGTAAACCAAGTCTCTTCTTCTGCTATGATTTTGCACCTTATTCCCTTTCTTACCACTAAGGGTCACATCAGACTCATTGAACATTGGTAACAGTAACTAAACAATGCTTTTGTCCTTCTGTGATTCATTGTCAGTGTGAGTCATAACACAAGTGTAAGCTTTGTCTGATACTACTGGCCTGTACTCCCTCTTTTCCTGTTGGTCTTTGTCTATTACTCCTCCCTTTCCCTTTTCTGCATTCACCCTTTGCCTCATTTTCAGATGCAGCTCTCCCTTCTATCACTCTGTGCACTTGTTCCATGCAGTGATTGCATCTGACATGTCTTATATAATGGGTTTACAGCCCGCTGCGCTCTGAGGGGAATTACTGGCATTCCTGAATATTTCCCTGCTAGCTTAAAAGTCAATGTTTTTTTTCCTGTACCCTCTGTTATTGGTGTATCTATTTACCATTCCTTGGCTGTCTGCCTCCCCTGGCAGATTGAAGCACTGTGTAATGCCAGGAACACCTCCCCATCAGTGCTTCAACACTGCAAGCAAGTCCTTTTGATGTGCAGCTCACACAATTTCATCCTCAGTCTTCAGAAATCTAGGTCAGCTCTATTATTTATTAATTGCTGTTTCACAACTCCCTTAGTCTTCACGCTGCTGCTCACAGGGCTCCAGCTCCTACAAAGCAGAGTCTCATGTCTACGACTTCTGCTGCAGCACGTCTAATAATAATGTGCGGGGCTCAGAAGGAGGCTGCCAGGATTAATCAACCACAAAAGATTTCCACAATACAGTGTGAATAATAACAGGAAATAAGTGGTCAACATATCTGTAAATAAGGCTTAGTAGCAGAATTGAAATCAACTGGTTCATACTTAAAGGTAAGAGTCAGTCGCATTGTTCATTGCAGCTTGTAAACTAGGGATGTAACGGTATCGTCATTTTCATGATGTCGCTACTTTAAAAGTGTCTCAATACCATCATGGACCTGTGATGGTATGAAACAATATCTCTTCAGTTGAGCAGAGCGGATGGATGTGGGAACTACAGATAGCATCTTCCCATGCTGCAATCATCCGCTCGCTGCCTCAGTTTATCGAAAATGGCTGACACCGGCAGTAGTTGCGAGGGAGAACAGAGAGTCGTTGAATTTGTAAATGCTACAGCAACTTTTAAATCTGACTGTGGGAAAGAATTTCGGTTTCCCCGGGCCAGGAAATGAGAACGGAGAAGATGACCAACCAAAAAAAAAAAAATCTATATTTATTTAGACACTGCCAGACTGCAGCAGTTACACGTGGGGGGAAACAAGTAATATGAAAAGTCTTTTGACAAATCGTCAACCCGAAAAGATTTGAGAAGAAATGAGGAAAAAAGTAAGATTGTCTTGCCATATATCATATAGCACAGTATCTCTATGTATTGTGATATAATTGTTATTATTGTGGACCACGTATCACAAATCCTATTTCATATCATATACACAAATATCTCGACATCATGCATCATGCGCTGTATTTTACAGGGACTACTGACCTTTGCCATATCCTCAGCCCCTCCCAGAGGCAATGGCAGCCGGTGGGATGAAGGCCTCATCAAAGACTCTGGTACCATGTCTAAACGAGGCCTTTTGACCTCCGTGTACTCCACCTCTGATTGTCCGCTGTGCTCTGGCAGGTAGAGGTGTTCATAGCGGATATGCTGCTCTTGTCCTCTGTAACACAAACAACAAAGCAGAATAGAAAAGTATGTCAATATATTGAATGTATATCTTTTATGTACAGTCAGCTAAACATAGAGACAAATTTGATCTTCTGAGTGAGAGACTAGGGTCAATGACGATTTAATTTAAACAGAACGGCCAAATTAAATCCCATTAATGCAGGTTCTGTTTAACCACACAGACACATCAGTACAAAATGACACAATGACAATAACCGTATTATTATCTGGCTGACATAATATATACTGTTGTTTTGGTTCAAACCAAAGCACCGTAAAGTTATCAATGAGGACCATGTTCGTAAGATGTAGTGGGTCACTGAGTTGTGGGAAAATTGAAAGAAAGAAAATAAGTCGTAATGGGTGACTCACTGAATCGTAACTGTCTGATGGTTTCAAGTTTATCCTAAGGTAGGGTGTTTCTTGCTAGGCTGTCTATATTCATATACTGTATATGAAGGCAAGTGCTTTGTTTAGAAGTGTAGTTCAAAGCTCAACTATGGCGCTCCCTTTATTGGACCCCAAAACTAGAACTGATCTGGATGGCCGAGAATGCAAAAAATTGCACTGACAGCCGCCTGAGGAGGGGGGAGCAACGCACTGTAATGTGATCTGATCGTGATCCACTGTGTGTGGTGCTAGTGTAAACCACCTTCAGCATATGTTCATCACATTCGTTTAACTCATTAGTTTATTGGAGGGGGGTTAAGATGTGAACTTAAATGACAGCTTCTGAATTTTGACTGCACAAGTTACTAAGAAATGATATTAGGCCCCGTGGAAATGACTCTCTCGGTTCTATTTGAGATAACAGTTCTCTGTCACTGGCCCTGCAGCCAGATGCCAGAATGTCAGTGACTTTGCAGCCTGTGTTAAAATGGAAGAGGCATCTGTAGAGAAGAGGGAAAACACAACCATAATTGCTGGTCCAGGCCCACAACAGTCTAGTGTGTGGTTCCCGTATGTGCCAAGAGCACGGAGCCTGTTCTCTGCACAGCAGGCCGCTGGTGGCGTGGTGTAACAATCACAACAATCCCAAGAGGTTTATAAGGGAGATAAATATGTACTTATGTAATATGAATAAATATACATGTTAAAAATGTATCATGGTTGTAGAGGAAAGAAACTGATTGTACATGGTTATCCATGTGATTGCTTAAGTTAAACCTTAGAAAATAAGGGGATAAAATGAATACCCAGATGGTGTGTGACTTCTTCCCAGAACACATTTTTCCCATTCATTCAGTCAGACACTTCCTCATCTCCATTGAGGGTTGGCACTTACATAATCAGATCATCAAGCACTAGCCCACTCCCACACACACCCCCCCCCCTTCTTTCTTTCTCCCCATCCCTCTTGTGAGCGTGCAGAATAATCTGATCCCCAGCGAGGATTTGTCTGGAGGATGACAGAAAGAGATATGTGTGGAGGTGGGGAACTGGGGGCAACACAACACCCCCCCCCCTTTCTTTTTTACTGGTTTTGGCCCCGTTAGGATTGAGCAGAGATCATGTGAACCCGATAGCAGCCTGTTATTATAAAAGCACTACAGCACTTTTGCTGCTGCCAATCTCTGCATAACTCCCCAGAGGAGCAGCTCCACAGCTGTGCACGATACAGACACTGTTAACAGAGCGAGTGGCCAGCAAACTGCACCACAGCTGGAATGAATGAAACAGAAGAGGAGGGACAACGGGTGGAGTCGAAAAAAAACTTCATGCAAAATTTGCTTTAGCCCAAAACTTTTCCGTTCATATTGCTGAACAAAATGTTGCTAAGTGTTTGAAGCAACCAGTGACTCAGGTACTTACAACTAAATGCTTGAAATAAATGTAAACCATATTTTTGAAATTACAATGGAGATCGGAAGGTTACATATAGGAATGGTCCAGAAAAGTAATCGATCACATATTTGCAATTGGGAATTAAATGAAGGAATTTCTAAACCTTTCATCCAAATTCAAACAGCTGTTTTCAAATACTGATAGCATTGATATATATAAATATATAGCATATAGATATATATATAAATATCGTACCATGGACTTGTTATAGCGATATCGTATTGCAAGATTTTTTTAATTGTTACATCCCTAGTACTGCAATGCACCTCTGCTCTGCCCATTATTTTTATTTTTATGATCGAGGGTATTTAAAATAAAGTTTTTGTCTCTTACTACCAGACAAAGAGCAGAGGAGGTGACAATGGAGGAGACACTGTCTGAATTGCATAAATACATTTGCAATGTTTCAACATCAAAAACTTTTGCATACTGTCTGAATTTGGGTTATAAAAAATGTTTTAAAAAGAAATTGCCTGAAATTGGAGGCCTGGGACCTTTATTTTTGTTTGCCATGGTTTTAAAGCAGGTATCTATATTGTTTGAGTTTGACTAGAAACGGATCAAAGATTAACATTCTTGCATCGTGACAACCCTAGTGCAAATATCCTGATTTTTTTTTTCTTTCTTTAACAACTGTGCGCATGCTGAGGTCTAAACAGAAGCCCTAAGGATACTACTTTGATATCCATTAACAACATTATTCACAGTTCACAGTTCCATGAGAAGAATAATCACAGCTTTTACACAAACTCATTTTGCAATACTGCAGCAGGTTTGTTTGCACTCTCTGTTCTGGCCTGAAATGACACCCTGTTAAGTGCTTACTCTGTGTTGTTATGCCTGCTGTAAAATGTATTCTCTTCCTTTCTCAAGTAGCCTGGGTGATCTCACACAGATGGGAAGAGGCGGAGTGACTGATATATTGCTTCGAGTTAAGAGGGGCATGAAACAAACACAAGTATAGTGGCCCACAAATGATTATTCTGTGGTGGTTGTCTGACCTATAATTAGGGTTAATTTAGAGCATTAACTAAATACCAAAATGTCCGCTTGTCCTTAGTCCAAGACAACTGAAGAGGAGATGAAGGATATGTAGATGTAACACAGAGAAAAGAGATCACACTTCTCTTATATTCTCACTCAGAATGTGAGAAACCCTGAGCCCGCCACAAATGGAGACATGGTGTACAGAATTACTGAGACTTGTGAAAAAAGGGAGCACACATCTGAGAGCAGAATAGATTGAAGAATCGCCAAGGCCAGAATTACGCTATTCACACTCTGAATGAGAGTGTAGAATAAGGGCTTCAAGCCGGATACTAAGCTCTGTGAAGGAATGTTGAACGCTCGATAGATCTAACTGAAAGACTCACCACCCACGGGCACCTGCCAGCAAAGGCCGTTTATTTCCCAGTCTGCACAAAGAAACTAACTGCTAACTATCTTAAATCCACAGTACAAGTAAACAAGGCATCTATTTTGCAGAAACACAGCCAATATAGTGACTGTCAAAGGCACCAGTCATTGAATGAAGCTATTTAGGAGCTGGTTGAACAGTAAGAGTTTCTTTGTGCGTCAACCCAGAACCAGATTTTCCGTAGTGTGTGTTGCCTGGGCTAAGCTAACCGTTGAGTCTACCAGCTCAGTGCTTTACAGTGAAGACCCTAATCCCATCTGATTGATATTTAAAGACACCGACATTATGCGACGACCACACACTGCTACAGAGTCATTCCACCATCTGCTGTCTGCTGTTATTACTCCATTGTGCTCCCGGAGCTAAAGGTGCACAAATGATCTGGCATATTTGGAAAGACTGGCCCTGCTCTGTACACAACACACTGTACATCTTCCAGCTGTTTTCTAGTAAATTCTGCCTCTTGAAAGGTTACTTTTGTGCTTCTTGCATGTTTTAACATCTGCCAGAAGATTTGCCATGACAATCAACTGGGAGAAAAAAAAAACAATCTTGTTACTTATCCTACTATCTTCTGTGCATAATGTTAAATTCATGATATTCCCATGAATCTTTTATAAATGCTCATCGAGACTCATCCTCGAAGAGCACAGCTAAATAAATAATAAACAACCTTTGGTAGGTACAAGACCAGAGTCTCCAGAGAGAAAGTACTATACATACAATGCTTTGGCAGACTTACTATTGGTCTATTGAAGATGGCAAAACCCTGCAAGCTCCATTGCCCCGCAGAGCCGTTTAACACAACATTACAGAGGAACGGCTCGCAGATGCCAATTACATAAGGATTACACTGGGGGGAGGGTTAACAGGGGGAGGCTTTACTAGAATAATACTGCATGAAAAAGGTTAAAAAAACACTTGGAATACTAATGGAATATAATATCCTTGCACTGATTGATGTTGAAACACAAAAATGCAGTTAGAAAAATGTATAAAATCATAAATATTGTGCTTTTCATGTTACATTACCCCCAATTCACACATATGCCGTGCACGCCGCAGTCTGTCAGCGCACTAGGCCATAGTTAGCTGCCACTCTAGTCAATCATTGTGTCCGTCTCCGGAGCGTGCCGCCAACGCCACTACGCTCTGCTCCATTTTGAATACGCTGCGAGTCTATTTCTGACAGAGTACACTGCGGACACACATCAAGCTGGACAGAATATGACAGCCCGGACAGGAAGTCAGACAAGGAAACGCACAGAGCATCCGGTCAATTTCAAAATAAAACACAATATACGGACTCGCGATTGTATTTTTCATCACTTTATCAACATTAAGTCAAAACAGGCACAGAATGAACACCAAATCATCTTTAGAAAGACAAAGCACATATATATATATATATATATATATATATATATATATATATATTTTTTTTTTTTCCTTCAGTAATTTGGCTACGTCTGTGCTGTCTTGTTCTGTTTGGTATGTGAAAAATGAATAAAATATATATCAAAAGAAAAAAAGAAAGACAAAGCAACATGTTGTTGGCATGTTTTTTCTCTATTTTTTCAGCGGGATATTGTAGTAGTTATCCTCTGATGCGTGTACAGCTGGTCATGGGTGCACTACACTGCACTGACGTTCCAGAAACTGATCCAGTGGGGATGGAATATGTGTGAATTTGGGGTTACCCTCTGTTGTGTTTGTACAGTCAATAACACTGCACAAATCATTTATACAAACATACAATGGGGAAAATGCATACAATCAAAACACACTGCCATCTTTAGTAGTTGTAATTTTTTGCTCCTAAGAAAAGACCGTGAGCTTGATGGACCTACCTCTCATTTCCAGGCTGAAACTCTGAAAGCAAGGACGGCCGACGGCGATGGGGTTGTGCCAGGTGAGAGCTGTAGTCTCTGGCATGATGAGAGTGGTAGTCAATCAGTCCCACTTCCTGGAAAAATAAATCATGGGAAGTTGTCAGTGGGGAATAAGATACCCTACTTTAATCCTCTGTCTAAAAAAATAAATATATATAAAAAAAAAAAACATTAAGCATTTCCATGTCCTGCCTTTTTTCTCATGTAACAAACACCCAGTCCTTTTCATTCCAGCTCTCTTCTCTCTCTGCTTCTATTTGTGTGTCACACAAGTGGGGAAACCCATGCAGCTACTGTAAATGTGTGTGTTTGCCAATCAGGGATTGTGGGACACAGCCTGTCAACCTTGATCTCCTGCTGAATGTGATGATAAAAGAGAGGGGAAGGATTAACTACAGGTGCAGCTGCGGGGATCCTGGGGGGGTAAGCCCTCAATTCTACCGCCAAACCAGAACAAAAAGAGACCTGTGAACACTGGAGGTCACTAAATGAACTTGTGCATCAGCTAGAGGCCTCTTCTTTGAAGCATAGACAGCCCTGATATGTAGAGGAACATAATCTTGATAATTAGGTGATGTGGGTGAAAATAATGGGAAAGGCCTTAATGCGAGGCCACAACGAAAACATGAACTTTCAACTCAAACATCTAATGAGGGAACAGTTTTGTGTGCACAACACTGCAACCTGGGAATGTTTCTGTTGTTAAAACATCAGCAGGGGCCCCTGGGGTCATGCTCTCTGCATTGGTTCACAGTAATGCCTTGTTTACACAATATCCAACAAGTACATATTGTTTATGGCAGAAGAATCTCTAAAAATCTCAGGCACTAGCAGTGGTGCCATTGAACGGCCCTTACCGTGTGTGCCCGTTGCAGCTGCAGTGGTAGAGTGGCGGGGTTTGGCAGGTGCCGGGTATCCACAGTCCTCCGGCCCGGCGGTACAGACTGAGGATGAGAGGACATGCTGGCACAGCCGCTTCCTCTAAAGGCCGGAAGTGGGTGTGGATCCGGAGGAGATGCCAGGCATTATCAGCTGCTTCTCTTAGCCTGCAACCTGTAGAGGACAAAAAGACATTTTATTAGGTTAGATTAGAAGAACCCCATTTGATGGCTTTGATACCTTTAGAACTACACAGAACAATGTATAAAACATTATGCAATATGTGTAACTGCTGCCCAGAAACAATGATGTTTTCTGGCTAACACTGAGGGTAGTGATAGATGAAACTGTGTATGTCTGTCTTCCCAGGATGACAGAATGATATCACCTCCCTCACACAGCTGCTCCCCCCTACATCACTCAGAGTAAAGGACTGAGCACCCCTGCACCTGCTAGGCTGAACTGCTCCTCCGTTGCTTACTGAATGGCCCACTGTCCTCACACTTAAGACACACACCAGCCAAGTCAAGCCGCTGGCCTGCGAACCCAAAAATACTCTGGGTCTAATGGGGCTTTGGAGCAAACAAAAATAACTCATCGACAGATCGAGATGTAGACCTTGAGAGTCAGGCACTAGATTTTAACTCCAGCTGACAATATGCAAACCAGAGTGGTCTTATCAATGAGGAGTGTCAGATATGAATCAGAATGATAAATAAGTCAAATCGGGTACACACCAACATGTAGGATGACTAAACATACTGCAAATGGGAATTTATGTATCTCTATATGAAACTTTAAATTTTGTAAGAATACTAGAGTGTGGAAAGAAATGGCAAGTTTCATATTACCGCTAAGTATGGATATTTCTATTATATTAATAGCAAATGTGATTTTTTTTAATTGCAATTATGAATTGCTGAAGGGGCAGCACAGCTCATTTTGAACAAGTTGCATTGTTAAAAAATCATGCTCACATTGGACTAGACTGAAATACTAACAGTTCAGATTGAGAGGTGCATGCAGCATTACTTTGACCACAGTGTTGGTCAGTGTGTGGGCTTGACTCCATTGTGTAGAAATAAAAAGACTGAAGTGAGATAAAGAGATTTATTTGACAAAACAGTTCTTGATTTAGTTTAATTTTGTGGACATAATATGCAGTTTAACAAGTTAAATTGAAATATATTGTAATGCAATTCTCAGCATATTGCAAAATGTTTAAAATCGCAATAATATCGTATCGCGACTCAAGTATCGTAATAATTTGGTGTCATGGGGCCTCTGGTGATCCCATCCCTAATACTTTTGGTGTATTTCACCTAAAGTTCAACTTTCAGCCCTGCTCATCACGTTACTGCAGCCATTTCACTCAGACAATCTCAAAAGCACGTGAAATTAGTCAGTAGTACTCTCAACTAAAGGTGCACTGATAGATCAGTGGGTGACCGTGACCGGAACCGGACGATTTTGGCAGAAAAAAAAAAATATTGGCTCAACATGGCACTGATCAAAATCTAGACAAGATTGTGCTCAAGTAATCTGTTTACTGAATGGAAAAGCCATCAGCACCAAGACAACCTCCTAAAAATGTAATGAATAAAGTCAGAAAGAGATTTAAAACAGAGGTTAAGTATAAGTAATATGGGTAGAAATGATTTCCATATTTAAGAATCAAAAAAGGAGCATTAAGATGATAACTAGAAGTTTCAATGCATGTTAACAATGGCTTTCTATCAATAAAGAAAACAAGTCCTCAGTGAAGAGCTGTCCTTGATGCTTTGAAAGATGTAAACATATAGTGGAGTAAAGTACAAGGTCATGTTTACTGGCCTTGTATAAATCATAACACCTGTCAGTCCACATTAGTTGGATTTTTTGTCAGTTTGGATCTGATAACAGGCCGTGTGTTTGTTCTCAACAACAGTGGAGTTCATTGGCATTAAGTAGTACTTTTATGTCCACAAACCAAGGCAGTGTCACAAGTCACTGCTGGCACAGGTAGTGCACTGTGGTCATGAATTATGTTGTTGTGAAAGATAAGTGGTGATAAGATAGTTAAGTCCAGGAAGCAATCTACACTTGTTGGGAAAATACAGTTTTTTCACAGAAGTAAGGCATCTAAATGTACCTTGTACCTTAACACAAAAACACATTGTTAATCCCCAGCCAAAAAGTGGTCTATAAATTATGTAATACTAGTTTAATAGCACCAATGACAGGGCAACTATTTCCCCTGGTGGTGATAGTTCCTTACAGTAGTTCTTTAAAATGTCCAATCTAAATAGTGAAGTAAATAAATGTTAGACAGTTAGACAGTAATGGCCAGTCACACAAACCAGATCACAACACCGCCTAGAACTTACATTATTTATTGACATGGTCTAATAGTGTGGAGTGCCAGTGTGCCAGTCTCCATTGTCTGACTGAGTTTGGACTTTTTAGGAGAACAAAGAGAGGCACTATCTGCCCTTCCTTCCTGCTCGACTGTCACAAACACAAAGTGTCACTTGATTTTAGTTATGCAAAGGGCTCTATAACCAACAGCTGAACATTGCTCAGGCTTTAAGGAACAGAGAAGCTCTGTAAATACTGGCTCAGAGAGGCCATGATATAGGGAAGCGCTGCTGAAATTCTCACACTGACCCGGGACTTTGCCTTTGTGTCAAGTAGCCAAAACTGCAGCTTCAAATATTTTCAAGTAACTGGAGCTTCTCATAGTTTGATCTGACAGACCTAGGTAAACAATTCACAAAAAGGGAAGTGGTTTAAACCTCCAGTAGACCAACCTCACTGCTGGTGAAAGACTATTTTATATTGACAAAGCATACAAATGTGTGAAGAAAAAAAGGCGAGCAAGAGAAGGTGAGATAAGCCATCCTCTGTGGAAGACTCTCTTTGATGACCGGCCAGTCCAGAGAGATTTCACTGAGGAGGACGAAAACAAATCTGAAGGCAGTCACAAGATCTACTCAGGACAAAAAAACCTGAATCAAGACGAGAGGGGCCAACACAATGAGAGAGCTTTGACATAAACTCTGAAGCAAGGGGGCCTTCCAGACAGGAGGCTAAACACATGCACTGGCACTGCTACAGACACCCACAGGCAAGTCGTTGGCTCACAGCCAGCACTGCGAATGAACTCACTCACCTCACTCTTCTCACTCTAGCGCGCTTTTCCTTCTCCCCCTCTCTTTTTGCTTTCGTCTTCTGCACAGAGTAGAGTGGGCCCCAGCTTTCAGCGGTGCAAGCCAATATTTCATCCTCTTACCCCTACACCCACCCACCCCTCCTCCACATTTTCAGGAATGGCTGTGGAAATACTAGCACAGAGCACACAGACGGCTTCCCGCCTGCCAAGGAGAGCAGGAGGCTGACTTCAAAACAACAGTTTAATTCTCCTGACATAAACAGTTCATCAAATCTCTGTCTGGTTCCACTTGGTAGCTTGACATTGAAGCTCTAGTCTCAAAGTCAGAACAAGGGATTCAACAGCTTTTAACACGTTTTTGTTAAGAGCCTTAATAGCATATCTTGGAAACTGATAGAAGCGAGGGTGCTGTGAATAGACAATCGGTCTAAAAGAAATGGTTTACACTTAATTTCAGCCCAAAAAAATATGTTCACACAGAAAACAATCATATTAAGAGCATTGAGCTGTCAGCAACGAGGTCTACTATTACACTGACAACCAGAAGAGAATCTGGCTCAGTTCAAATACATGCAGCTGGTACTAAGAGGCAGATGAGTAAACAGTAATGGGCACAATGCTTGGTCTGGGAACAACATCAGAATTCTTTAAAGCGGAGCCAGAGAGAGCTAAGCTAAGGGGAGGGCGGCTGCTAGGACTCTCAGCCTAGGAATGTGGCACCCTGTCAGGTCTCATAAGAATTTATCTGGAGCCTCATTAACAAAAGGCCCGGACAAGAAGGCTCTCGTTTACTTACCCTCCATATCAATATGGAACCACTCAAAATCGCCATGCATACAAGCAATCCTTAGCTTGAAGATTGATTCACACATGACCTTCATCTTAGGACCAGCATGGGTGGTCCTGATCAATTTATCAGAACAAAAAGTGATTTAGTGTTAAATAAACAGGCAGCACCAAATGGCGGACTCCACTCCGAATCCAGACCTAGGTGCTGTTTTATCCAGAAACAGTGCTTTTGATACTTTTACGGTAGTCTAGTGAAACAACACAGCTTCTCTCACCTTTACCCTGGCAATTTCAGCAGCCAGGAAAGTCACAGACCAATGCATTCTTTTTAACAGTCACAAGTGATGCCACACAGTGTGACGACCCCTCCCACTTTGCTCCCGCTCTGCCTGACTGTCTGCATGATGGCTTGTCTCTCAGCCCTGTCCTGCTCTTTCAGGTGCTTGGAGTTGGCATGTGGGTTGAGTTAGGAGGGCCATCACCTGTTACCTGCTCAGCTGAGTGGGCCCTTCAGAAAAGCAATATACTGTATGATTGATACTGTACTGATTGAGACTCTGACTCAGCCTTTCCTTCGTTTGGTTTGCTGCACTTATCACAAACATCTCACCACATTTCCATATTTCAGTTAAAAATAACCTTTTTGACTGCTTTATCCATGTGTGGCCTCCCTGCCAATCAAATCCTTTTCTAAGACCAGGCACTGCTAGTGAACACTGTGTGATAACACAGAAACACACAGAGGTTGATACAACTAAGCCTAGTAGTTGTATACACTGCCAACCATGGCGTGAGGTAATCTCCTTGAACCTGATCTTGTTAAATTTAAACTTAAGAACCCTGCTATATCCTACCCATACCGTTTGCAAATTTGTATAATTTTTTATGATTCAGAGACATTAGCGATCCTTTCCACATGTCAAAACGACAGGAGGCATCAAACAGCCCTAATCTCTAGAAACTCCTGTATTGGCTTCAACATCCATCATGTGTTCGTTTCTCCACTTCCAGACTCCCTCTCCCAAACTGTCCATCCACATTAAACATGAAAACAAAGCTCTTACGATTAATCCACTAAAGCTTCAGTATTTTAGACCCAAGAGGTTTATTAAGGTCAGGGATCAGAAACAAGGGTAATCTGAGTGGTAAACAAGCCGTTTGGTAACCACAGTTCCTCAAGACTGATCCAGCAGGATCACTTTTCCTTTCCATGTGACTTTGAATGTTTTCTTGT